CGGCAGCCCGTGCGCGCCGCCGCAAACACGGCCGCCAGCGAATATCGGACTTGTCGGGTGTGAAAAGGCGCGCAGCATGCTGGAGCGGATTTAAGGGCGTGTTTAGCTGGCGCGTGACACATTTAAGCGGTAATGCTTACGTGCTTTCAATTTCGATACCTTTTGGGCCCTGTATTTTATTGAGCAGAAACACCTGCGCACAAGAGAAGCAGTCGGATGCCCCTCAGGGCAGACAATACCAGGCTTTTCGTTTAAAAGTGCGTGCCAAATAAAACCGTACCATCACGGCGGCACTCGTGCTCGCTAGGCGCGCGCCCGGCGTCCGTGGCGACATCTGCGCAGAACTCTCGAGGTCACGCCGGTACACAGCCAGTCTTCATCCCGCACTCTGCCCCCACTCTACGTCAGCCAGCGTGCCGACACGAAATAAGTGTCAATCCGGACTGTGGCGAGCTTTCTCTGGACGTCCGACTGAGAAGTGCCCTGTGCCTGTTGCCGATTGTTCGAGACCCAGCGTCACCTCGGCTGGGGCGACACCATTCTCATCCGGTGCCGCACCACGCCTCCACCCAAAGCCGTCCCACTAGTGAGAATAGTTTATTTCCGATTAATGATATACCTGGTACACAATAGACTTTACAAAGGCGGGAACAAAATAGATCATTCGCTATGCTCTAACCGTCCCCTCCCGAAAAATAGCGGTCCGCCACACGCCTTCGCAACAGCACAAATAAACAGCGTCACCGGACGACAGCGCGCCACGGCGGCCGGGGGGCTCACCCACGGCGCGGTCCCACAACCATCCCATGCCAGCGCACGGCTAAATATAAAAGCTCCCCTATGTACAGTCAGTCGGCCGATAACAAGATTGGAATGCGGGCGCGCGTGGCGGCCGCCGCCGAGCCGGGCCACGTGACCCGCCCGCCGGCGGTCCGCGACGCCGTGAGTCTCGGCCGGACGGCGGCCCGGGCCGCCCGCCGCGCCCGCCCCACCGCACGCGCACACACAGAGATAGAGAGAGGAGAACGGGCGGCGGGTCACACCCGGCCCTCCCGAAGCACACTCGGCCCGCGGCAGATCTGTCGCGGCGTCGCTCGGCCCCGGGCGCGCGCTGCGCGCGCGCCACGCCCGGCGACGTGCCGTGTGGCGACGCCCGCCGCCTGGCACGGACGGCGTCCTCGCCCCGCGGCGCCCCTCGGACGCCCGTGACGTCATCGGACTCGGGGTGTGACGTCACACGGCTCAGTTAGGAGGCGACGATGGCGCGCAGTTCGTCCACCACGTTGGAGAGCAGCTGTTGGTTGGTGCCCTTGCCGTCGATGCCGAGCCGGCCGGCCGCCTGTACATACAGGGTCAAGTCACGCCAGGTCAGGTCAGGTCAGGTCAGATCAGCACGGACGGCTCACACCGAGGAGCAGCCGGTAACGTGATCAACATGGATCCGTGACGGACTTTTGCAGCAGCTGTGACGCAACCGAACCGCATTCAACCTTTTCATCCGCTGCATGAGACCACCGTTCTATTCCGCGCAAAGCAACGGTCTCTCACCCACCCGACCACAACTATCGGCTCTCCCATCAGCGGTCGTCCCGCCCGCCGCCGCCGCCCCTGGCCCAGTTTTCACCGCATCCCTGCTCTCCCGGCCCGGCCGCAGCGAACCCAGTACGGGCAGTGCGCGGTTCCGCGGGGCGCCACCGGTGACGCACGCACAGCTGAGGTGAGCCCGCGACCCTGTGCTGGCTCCCGAGACCCCGGCCGGACCCTTGCATACGCTGGGCCCGAACCGAGTGCACCGGCTCCGCACAGCGCGGCGGGGTGCCATGGACGCACCGTCCGGCCGAGAGGCGGACTTTACGTCGGCCGGCGGCAGCGTAAAGCCCAGCAGGCGGCAGGGAAGTCGCCGGCGCCACGTGCCGGTCGGCGACGCCGGCGCGCGAGCCGCACGTGCGGCACGGGTCACCACTCCCCGCCTCCCGACAGGGCACGTGCCGTCCCGCGGATGGTCGCAGCACGAGCGAGAACGGCCGAGGAGTGGCAATGTGAAGACCGAGCGCCACGAGAACGTGAAAGGGGACGGCGGTCCGCACTACCGCCGGCGGACGAGCACCGCACCTCACGCCGGCTGACGCAGCGAGGGAAGGTCCGCGCGGCGCAGGCAACCAAACACCCACACAAGGCCGAACACCACACAGAGCCCCCCCCCCCCCCCCACCGCGGCCGAACACCACACAGGGCCCGCAGGGAGCCCCCCACACCGCGGCCGACGCACTGACCAGCTGCTTGACGAGCACGCAGACGTGGTCGCCGCAGATGGAGCGGCTGTAGAGGCTGGCCGTCGTGTCGATCTGCTCGACGACTGTGTGTCGGCCCCAGAAGGCCACCCGCCGCAGCACCTGGCGGGTGAGACGCGGCGCGGCTGTCAACAGTCGGCCGGGGACGGGAGCGGTGCTGCGGCACACCACGCCCGGCAGGAGTACGCACAGACAGACGCACAGTCAAGGCAATGGCTGGCGGAGTAGCAGCGACACGTGAAACTAGCGCCGGCGCCGACTGACGCGCGGGACTGTGACGCGACGAAATGTCGGCTCGCCAGTCATGCAACAAAACATGATGGAAACGGAGTTCCGCCCCGCTTCATCTGGTAATGGGCCGGCGATAAGGTCAAAGCGTCATCGACCTTCTTCCAGCCATGCCTGAATTGCGCTTCGCGAAGTTTCTGATGTGGTCGAAGGCGTTACCTGTTACTCACTGGTCCCTGAGCAGACACTAGTTGACCCCGACCATGTACCTCCCTTGAGTTGTCTCCATCGCACGTGACTCGTGACCGACCTCTGCTGTTCACTGTCATATCTCCACCCCCTGACCTGTCCCCCCTCTCCTCGCCCATAGCCCTTCCTGCTCCAGCACCACCTCCCCGTGACCTGTCCCCGCCCCTGCCTGACCTGGTTGAAGTCGTCGGTGACCTCGGAGACGAGGCAGGTGGCGCGGGCCGTCAGCCGGTCGCCGGCCAGTAGGTCTGAGAACAGCTGCTTGTCGTCCAGCTGACCCACCAGCAGGGCGGTGCAGGGAAGCCGCAGCTTGAACGACAGCGTGTCGCCGCCCGACTGACGAGGCGGTAGGCAGCGGTCACGGGTGAGGTCAGGGTCAGGGTCAGGGTCAGGGTTAGGGCCAGATCAAGACAGGGTCTAGGCAAGGGCCAGGGTCAGTGGAAGAGCCAGGGACAGGGAAAGGGCCAGAAGCAGGGGAGAGGCCAGGGTTAGGGTCAGAGCCAGGGGCAGAGGCAGGGCCAGGGGCGCGGGAAGGGGCAGGGGCAGAATCAGGGGCATGAGCAGGGGCAGGAGCACAGACACAGCCAGAGCCAGAGCCAGGGCCAGAGCCAGAGCCAGGGCCAGAGCCAGAGCCATAGCTAGGGCTAGGGCCAAAGCCAGAGCCAGGACCGGGATCACGGCCAAGGCCAGGGGCAGGATTAGGTCAAGTCAGGGTCCGGGTTGAGGTCAAGATCTGGGTAGGACTCCAAGGCTGGGTCAGGTTTAAGGTCCCGGTCATGGTTAAGACGAATGCTAGGGCCGAGACCCAGACCGGGCTTGGGTCAGGCCAGGGTCAAGTTGCAGTCAGAACGAGGCGCCAATTACTAAGAAATAAACCAGGGTCGGATCCCCCCCCCCCCCCCCCCCCGACTGGTAGCAGGGAGCAGCCGGTGGTCGGGGTACATGTCCACCGCATTATGCCTAGATACGGATTATTATCACCCAGTCAGGTGAGCCCCGGGTTGCGGTCAGTCCGGACCAGTCATGCATTTAGCCGGGGACAGAGTTACGGTCGTATCGGTAGCGGCACGGGGAGGGGTCACAGACCGCCGGCAGAGCACAAGATTCCCCCCCCCCCCAACATATCGGGATTTGCCCGACTCGCGGCACAGTCCGCTCCACACAAACAGGTGACCTGTCGATGCGGACGCGACCCGGCCGACGAGCCAGCCCTGCAGCCGCTCACGTCGCAGCGTCTCGCCCATCCCCTCCGCCGCCCACGCCTCCCGGCAAGCCCGGCAGCGATACACAGCTGGAGCCTCCCCCTGCCAGTGACCGGGCGCTGACCTCGGTGTGTGACGTCACACTGGCAGCCAGCTTGAGCGGCGCCGTGACCTCGCGCACGCGGAGCGGCAGCAGCAGCTCCCGGCTGGCGCCCGCCTCCAGCGAGAACGGCTCCACCTGGCGGAGACACGGCACGGCGCGCTGCTGACAGCCGGCCGACGGACGCACAGCCGCGCCCCAGATGACGGGGTCACGCAGGCCGGCGGCCAGACGACAGTGCAGCAGATCGGGTCAGGGTCGCACGGGAACACTCTTCGGTCAGTTCATCGGGAGATAGACCGCATCAAGGCCATGCCTGCGTGAACATCGACTGCGTGTTTTGCTCCGCTGTCATCTTCACGGCCTTCCTTCCACTCTCAAGTCAGCACACCCCGCATCACCATGGCCGTAGCCGTCACGGTGTAACACGCCCCCCAGCTCCCGCCTGGCCGCGCCGGCCTCCGTCCGCGTCGGCAGCAGGCGGCGCGCCGTACCTGCTCCAGCAGCTCGGCGGCGTCGCTGGCGGCCAGCTGCAGCTGTATGTCGGCCAGCGGCTCGGGGCTCTTGTTGGTGACCAGCACGGCCACGGTCACTCGGTCGTCGTCCGTCGGACTCGCCCTCGGCTCGTACAGCTGCCGGGCGGCGGCGGTCACACACGGCAGCCGACCGGGGCGCGGCGATGACCGGGGCGGGGCAGGGCAGGGCAGGGCAGGGCAGGGCAGGGCAGGGCAGGGCAGGGCAGGGCAGGGCAGGACAGGTCAGATCAGGGCAAGGCAGGGCAGGGCAGGGCAGGGCAGGGCGGAGCGGAGCAGGGCGGAGAGAGGCAAGGCTGAGGCGGGCCGGGGCGGACCGAGGCGGGCCGAGGCGGGCCGGGGCGGGCCGAGACGGGCCGAGACGGGCCGGGGCGGGCAGGGGCGGGGCGTGGCGGGATCGGCAGCCACAGGATCAGCTGAGCTGGTGTCTGTAGCGGCCGTGACGGCATCATGTCACCAACGTCACCACTGCGCCTGACACCACCCACTGACCCCAGACATCGCCCCTCCGTCTGCTCACTGCGGTAACCGCCACAGACAGCCGTGAAGTCGGTACGGCACGCGAGGACGCGCTCATCGCTTCGGATAATGAAATAAAGATTTTCTTTCGCCACACCTCAGCTACATCCAGCTAGCAGCATGGGAGGTGTCCTGTCACACAAATCAATATCTCTGCGTCAAAAACGCCGCCCTGATAAATCCATGAAGCCCCAGTCATCCAGCGCGGTCACTGGCGGTGGCCACCCGCCAGGGGTGGCCCACTCACCAGCTTCAGTCGGTCGTTCTCGGCCAGCGGCTGCAGACGGGAGTCGGGCAGGTCGGACAGCCCTGGCGCCACCACCTCGTGACTCGGAGTCGATATGCCCACGGCCTCCTCGTAGCCGAGCAGACGGCCAGACTTCTCCTGCCGCCGGGGGACATGGTCACAGCAGGTGCTCGGCTGGGCGTTACGGGCACGGCCTGGGCGCCGGCACAGCTCATACGCTGCGCTGACAAGCAAAGCATACTTCAACGTGTGGTGCCCCCACACACAGAGCAACTGAGAAGCCACACCTTTTATGAAAATAACCTGAGGACGAAATAGCGCATCGAAGTACGGAAATTCAACGAGTTTTTGCAAGACATGAACGTCAAGTGTGTTCACAATAACCTTATCCCATTACCCAACGACACACCGTGCGAACATACATTGGCAGAGCCCAGTGTCTTCAGTTCCTGCCAAGAATGGCTCCAGATGATCTGCCAACACTCCAAGCACGATGCGATCCTACAGCAAACCGAACACTTTGTCCTACGACTTTTACACTTCATGATCCACTCATTTCATCCATTTCAAGCCCACCACGGCCCACGCGCTCACCTTCTTATTCTTCTTACTCTTCTTGGACGACTTGTGCTTCTTCTGCTTGGTGGCGCCGTTGGAGACGGGCTCGCCGTTCTCCTTCGGCGGCGGCACCGGCTCGGCGGTGCCGGCCGGCCCCGCGCCGTCGGCCGGGCCAGCGGTGCCCGCCGGGTTGGCGGCAGCCGCCGGCGTCGCCGTCGCCGGCATGTCGCTCAGCCAAAACTCAATGTCGTCCTGAGGAGGAAGCCACGTTCGTTACGCCGGCAGCTTTGTTGTTAGGTTTGTCGTGTCAGCTGTGGGATTTGGCTGTGGTGCATCCCGCCGCTACATGTCCCGTTACGATGCGTAACGGGACCTGTTGCGCATCGTAACAGTGAGCCGTTGAACGCGGCCGATGATATCCAGGACAATAACATAAAAATCACCACGGCGTGGATCAAACATTGGGCTTTTGCTGTACGTTTTAAACAGCCGAGCTAGAACGATACCGAATACTCGAACTTCCGTTTCTTACAGCAAGAGAACGCACGACCGAGTAGACCTTCCGTGTAGGTCTGCGTGCAGCAGGTTCCGTCTCAGCCACGGAGCGGCAACGGAACGGAAACATCGACGAAAGCCCCACAGATGGCGCGGGAACACCCCGACCACGCTCCCACCACATCTGAGGCCCTGCCGCACCCCGAGAGCCTGCCCGCCGCCTCACCTCCGGCTTCCTGCCGTTCTCCTCGGCGGCAGCGGCCGGCGGCGCCGGCTCGGCCCGCTCCTCCTCCGGCGCGCGCTTCTCCTTCTTGGACTTGCGCTTCTTGTCGTCCTTCTTCTTTTTCTTCTTGTGGCGGTCGCGGGCATCGGTGGTGGCCGGCGCGGCCGCGGCGGGCGGCGCGCGGCCCGGCTGCCGGTGGGCACGCACCGGCAGTACCTCGTCTGGAGCCAGCGGCCTGCCGCCCAGACAGACGCCGCCGCGTCAGGGGCCGCGCTTTTAATCGGTGTGTTATTGTGGTGAAGTATATGCGGCGCGGGTCACCGCGTCACCGTTCGGCGGCGCGCCGGCGATCAACGCGGTCGTGTTAGTGACCGGAGGCGAGCGCTTCAGCCAGGTAGTGAACCCGGACGTGCCACGTAGGGGGTTCAGATTCGAGATGTTCACATGCTACGTCACTCGTCAGAGACTGCGGGCCAGACAGCGCACAGGTGGCACAGCTGACCGCGCGCGGCAGCCCGGCGTCGACTGCAGCCAGTGACGTTGGCCGGGGCTTGATGAGGCGACACCTGCCGTCTCATCATATCGAGACAACAGATGTCACATCTCGCATCACAAAACCTTCCAAAAATAATGTGAGCGCCAAATCAGCGTCACGCAGAACACCAATACCGTCAATAGATTTACCTTCTGTGGACTCGCATTACAGCGATCACGACTTCAAGCAGCGCGGGAAGCTTTGCTGACCACCGGCCCTGCTCACGACACACTACAGCATCACAGCCGCCGCGGGCTGCGGCCGACGCCACTCACTCGTCCAGGTTGATGTCGAGCGCGCGGTGCGGATCGTCGGCCGGCCGGGCGTCCTTCTCGTCCTCGGAGGAGCGCGCCCCCTCCGGCATCTCGCCGCCCACGCTCACCTCGTGCACCACCGGCGGCGCCTCGTCCTCCGAGGACGACTTCTGTGCTCCGTCTGCCGGCGCGGAGCACGGTCAGACGGCGCGCCGCCACTGCCGCCCAGCTCAACGGAGGCGTGCTACAGTCTTGGTTATATGTGCAAGTGAAACTGAGGCACGTGACAAACACCAGTGTTACCGGACCGACAAGAAGGCACGACATCATGGCACATTGCGTGAGCGACAGCGACGTGTCATGTTCAGTTGGCTCCAGCTTGACTGTGTTCGGTTCAACCAGTCAACACGCCCATGAAGCTGGTCCATGAAACCGGCTGGCTACAGCGGCGATACGTACGCTTCTTCTTGGATCGCTTCTTCTTGTTCTTTTTACTGGCTTTGTAGGATCTGTTCTGCATTTTCAGATAGTCGTCTGAATTGGCGAACCCTGCGGCAAACCGGCACGCGTCGGTACAGATCCAGCACAACCCACACTTCGTTAGTCGTGTTGTTCGCGAACAGACCCACGCCCCAGTCCTCGAGGCGGTATCAGGGACTATCTCAGGGTGGCAGGCATAACACTTATCGCCACGACCCTCAGTTATTTGGTTGATGTATTAAAATCCAACTGCCGTTATCTGCAAACCCAACTGCCGTTATCTGCGAAATCCGAAAAACACCGTGAACTTACTACACATCTGCACATGACAACTAAGGCGCCTTTCTTCCCAGCTGGCAATAGACGTAATAACCTAGCATCAGCAGTCCCAGGCTCATCAAGGCTTCAAGGCGAAAGTCCGACGCGAGAGCCTTCCAAAAAACATCACGCCAAATACATCGAGTTCCAGTGTTTCCAGGCCCACGCCCACCACTCTCCCTCCCAGTCCCGGCACGGTCTCCCAGCCCCCTCCCCCTCCCCCTGCTCGGTTCGCCACTCACCGCCTATCCGAAGGGGCACGTCCAGGTCCAGCTGCTGGACGGGTGTGTCAGCCAGCTCGCCGGCCATGCTGCTGTAGTTGTTGCTGGACGACTGGACGGTGCCCTTCAGGTAGTGCGGGTTGTGCGTCTGCTCGTGCACGCGCGCCTCCCGGCTCTGTGGACGTCAGCGGGGTGAGCGCGTCAGTCACGCCCCGCCCGGCGCGTCACCACCTGGGAAGCCCTCGTGGCAAGCTCCCGCCGGCCTCGTGGCCGATGAGTGTGCTGACAAAAACTACACGCCCCGACGACTGCTTCCAGGGAACGAGCACAAACAAAGACCTCCTTTGCAATCGCATAGCATGGTAATCGTCCAAAACAAAAAACACTAGCTGGCAGCGATTGTCGGCAAGTCCCGCGGGAAATCCCGGAATCCCGGCTCAAGGGCCGTTTTCTCGACAGAGATGGCTCCACTGGACACCTCTGCCCGTCCGCCGGCCGCCCCACCTTCTGCAGCTCCTCGGCGGTGGGCTGGTAGCGCCGCTCGGCCGCCGCCGGCCCGGCCGCTCGGCTCTCGGCCCGCACGAACACCTCGACACCGTAGTCGACGCCGGCGTCCGGCTCGTCGCCGGACTCGTCCGACGGCTCGTTGATCCACTCGTCCAGCCGCAGGCCCTCCGGCACCGGCACCTGGCGGAGGACGACGTCAGACGAGGTCAGGGGCCAGCTGAGGTCATCTGGCAGGCGGTCAGCCGACAGGGGGCGGGGGACAGCAACACACCAGCCGGCAGCGGCGGGAGAGACTGGTTATCTGTGGCCTGGTTTACCTCCTCGGTCTGCAGAGGGATCAGCACTGACGTAATAAGCACGGTACTCGAGACGACCCCGTTCATATTTGAGGACGGATAGGGCATTGCCTGGTCTTTGACAAACAGCCCTGAGGCTAGCATATGGCAGCAGACAACTCCATGGAGGCAAAATAGGCCACCAAGGATGAAACTGTGGGCGCATTTTACCATGCCGAACATGAGCCCCGGTAGCACCACAGATCATCGACAACCCGCGGCGTCACCCACCATGTCGCTCACTCTGATTCTACCCCCACGCAATATGCCTTAACATGGCTTGACATGGTGTGTGTGCTCGGCTCTGCCATGCCACCTGGGAGTGCGGCGCTGTGTCCACTGCCCGGCCCCACACCCCGCGAGGCGTACCTTACGCTGCGCCTTGGGCGCCACCGGGTTCAGCTCTCCGCTGAAGAGCTCCTGCAGCTCCTGACCGAGCCGTTCGCCGCGCTGCTGCAGCTTCTGTACCGTCTTCATCAGCTGCAGCGCCGAGGTGGCGCGCTCCTGCACCTCCAGGTCCGCCGACGACGCGAACGCCGGCAGCGTCTCCACGATCAGCTCAGCCACCTGGCGGCCAGCCCGCGGCTCCAGTCACGCTCACTGATGCCACCACAGCCCGACAGCGTCAGTCACCGTCAGCCGCGGTCGGTCACGGTTAGTCACGGTCTCAGCCCCAATGCGGGCGTACCGAAGGCTAGCGTCCCTGGGTTGTCCGCAGTGCACCCGCGGGTGACACATGTCAGCACGTCTGACAGAGACCACAAACAACCTGACACCCCCGCCACCACCTGGCTGTTTCACACAGCACATGACTGACCTACAATGACACACCAATGCTCAGTACAACTCTGCAACGGCACACCGCTTGGCCCCTCCCTCGTGCACAATCAATCCAACCCACGGCGCGCCCCACCTCAGTCCAGCACCACGCCGCGGCGCCGCGTGCCGAGCCCCGCCGCGTGACCCACCTGGTTGACCTCCACCATGGCGCCGTCCACGTCCTCCGGCTGCTCGCTCTGTTCGGCGCGGCCCAGCATGCGACCGTACAGCTTCAGCACGTTCTGCACGTACACGGCCAGGATGTGGGGCGGCAGGCTGGCCGGGCGCGTGCGCAGCATCGACTCGACCGTGGAGCGGATGTTGGGCAGGTACTCGGAGAACTCTCCGCAGATCCAGGCGGCCGCGTACAGCACCTGCAGCGGGGCGGCGGCGCCGGTCAGTGCCCGGTCAGTGCGGTGACGCTGCCGCTGCGGCTGCTGCTGCGGCTGCCGTCGTCTGCTGTCACAGGGTTACGGCCTGCGGGGGTCTTCGGGTCTGCTGCTGTTGCAGTATCAAGGCCTGCGGGGTCTACTGCTGCTACCGCTGCCGGGTCGATGGTCCGCAATGACCAGAACTGGGTGCGGGACGATGGGGCCCTTGTTGCGAGCAGCCATGGAAGATGGTGGTAGCCACGGGGAGGGAAGGGGCGTCGGGCTCGGAGGCGTACCCAACAACGCGCCAAGCTTTAAGGCAACGGACCCAGGTTCGCATCCCCACAGCAGCGTGAACATTTCGCGGGCTCAAGGCGACGGCCAGGGTCCGGCGTCACGACACCATTAGCCATACAAGTTCGAACGTCCAACAACAAACCAACGGGCAGAGCTGGGCCGGACGGCGTCTGCCGATGGCGGGAGGTGCGGGAAGCGCCGACGACCGGCGAGTCACGTGTGCCGCTAATGAAGCCGCTGCACCCTGGCGCAATGCCCAAAACACTCCCGCGGGCGATGCATCGCGACAACCGTCGGCTGTCTTGCCACCCGCATACCAAATACAATACACCCCGCCCAACTACACCCATATACCGCTAAACGCATCGCCTCCAGCGCCGCCGGGCCCACAGGTGTCTCCACGTTTCCAGCTCCTCCTCCCCCCACCCCACCCAAGAGGGGCGCGGACGGTCACCTCCAGCATGGTGTTGCGGTGCGCGGCGGTGGCCAGCACGTGCGCGTTCTCCAGCAGCAGCGCCATCTGGGCCACGGCGAAGTGTCGGATGGCCTGCACGCGCACGGTGACGTCCATCATCTGCGCCGCCACCAGCGGGCCGTGCTGCGAGCCCTCGATCCGGGTCAGCTCCACCAGCACGCTCAGGTACCTGAAGGCCAGCAGGAGCAAGAGGTGAGGCGGTGTCCGGTGTCTGGGGAGCACGACAATGCGCGACGCAACGGGTACAAATTCCGAAGGAGGGGGGGGGGGGGGGCGCAGCCATCAGCGCCGACGGCTGTGAAGAACGCGTGGAAAATGAGCCTTCAGAGGCAAGAACGCCAGCCAGAGAGCCAATTCCAGGGCATAGTCATAACTCAACAGAACAGCTTATCAAGCACGCTATCCGACGAAGCGGCAATACTCTCGCCGTGTCCTTGAATACCACACGTGACCGATGACGCAAAGGCACTGGCAGTACGCCATCGACACTCACCACTCGAAGTTGGTGACAAACTGGTAGTTGTTCTGACTGCAGATGAAGACAAGCTTGGAGAGCAGCTCATCGCGGTACGTGGTGCCCTCGGCGCGATCCATGTGCACCATCAGCTTCTTCACGATCTCCATCAGGTTCTTCTTGGACACCATGCCGTAGAGGAGGTCGAGCGCGCGCAGTCGGATCGACTCGTCCTTGTCGTCCAGGCACTGCATGATCAGGTCCTTGTGCACCGTTACTGACTTGGGGTGACTCTGCAGGATCTTGCCCATGGCCAGCAGGCCCAGGTACTTCAGGTTCTGGTCCGAGTCCTCGATCAGGATGCGCAGCTTCTGCACGCACAGCTGGATCGAGGCGTTGTGGCTGGGCATGCCGGACGAGATGGAGATGAGCACTGCCGGCAGCGGAGGTCGACATCGGTCAGCGGGCGCTCGGCCGGACCGCGGACTGACGGCCAATCACGCTATAGAGCCGACGTGGCAGCCTTTGGTTTCAATCCTTCTGGGAGGAGACTTTAGCTCTGGTTAACAGCATCAGGCCAAGGTGAGAGTGAGCACCCACGCACAGCTCAGGAAAATAGGAAATCGGATCAGGGTTTGAATACGATCATGGCCCGTGACGCGCGCTGACTCAAGCCCCCAGATAGAGGGGAAACCCGTCCAGACATCACGTCCAGCATGAGACGCTAACCCCAAAGGGAAGCTAAACCTAATGCGAGGGACTCGCTCCAGGTCACGGTTAAGACACGCGCCCCGTCGCAGACCCCAATACACCGCGGAGCAGCTGTAGCTGAGCAACTGCTGAGTACTGGGGCTTGCATGGCGCACGAGCCCCTGACGCGACCTCGCGTCAGTACCGGGACAGGGCCCAAGCCCTTGACGGTACACCTATAATCGGTCCGAGTTCGTGACAGGGTTTTGACTAGGAGTTGGGTTCGTGGCCGTGGCCAGTGTTCGTGACCAGGTCGCAACACGGCCATGCACAGCAACAGTGGGCTCGTGGCAAGACCCCCATTCCCCTTCCCTTGTTCGTAGAAAGGCCGTGACCCACGCCCGTTTAAATGACGTGTTCCACATTTGTATGGGGCTGAAATAGCTATTTTGAAGATCATTCGATGCATTTCACATGCGTACCCGCTTCAGAACCTAAACCCCTCTAGTTGCTACGCTACACACCCGCGAAGATATGCAACTATTTAGGAGAGACCATTTCAAGGTCACCTAGGCATCCATGATGCCATAATAGCATCATTCAAATCCTGCCATTCCATTTGTCACGCGGCTATCAAGGCCAAGAACAATATAGTGGTCGAGTCGTCCATATCTGGCGTTCGTTCGTGGCGATTTCCAGACATACTGGTCAATTGGCTCTCAATCAATGTAGCGCAAGGTACCATGACTGTCATGAAACAGTGGCGTACTGAGAAGCATATTTACCAAACAGAGTAATCACGTTGTCTAGAGCATTTTTCCACTTAAAAGTACACCGAAAGGTATAAGTGAGCTTATATACGCCTCGATAATTCACCAGTAGAGCATTCCCCTTTCACACAGCAGGCCCACCTGCGATCACGGTGTTGATGCACTCGTACAGCAGCGACATGGCCGACGTGCTGCAACAGAGGACGCAGGGTCAGCAGGGCGGCCGGTTGGTTCGGCGGCGCCGCCCCCACTCGGCGCTCTGACCGGGCCCCGCCCCGGCCGGCCGGCTCGGTGGCTGACAGGGCCCCGCCTTGCTTCTGCTCGCCGGAAGACGCACGAACAAAGGCAGCCACCGTCAGCCAAACTCCCGCCCCGCCACACCCGTCAGAGCACCCGACTGACGAACGCACCGTCCGCTAGGTGGGCAACAGCCCGCGTGCATGGCGAACACCGGCCAACGTGCATGACATGCTGGTGGACCGTTCACTGTGCACAAGCCTGTTGCGCAGGTCAATTTCCGTGTGCATAGCTGTTAACGGACTTATTGCACGCGGTCGAAGTGACGCACCTGGCACGCGATCTGTTTCAGTCTGGTGAGTACGAGACTGGGGCACATCCACTACCCCTCCGCACACACGGTGCACCAGACGCGCAGCAGCTGGGCCGGGCACAGGTCTGGTGCATGACCAGCCGGCGCACGGGGCTGTCATGTGGCCCGCTGGTGGTCAGGCTCGGTGCGGCGCGCTCACCTGTGGATGAGGTTGGTGAGCGGCTCAATCAGCTTCTTGCCCAGCCGCGGCTCCAGCGTCGTCAGCGCGCCGAACTGCGGGCGAACGGACGGGTCAGACCGGCGGCCCCACCCGTCGGCGGCCGGTGAGCGGCAGGCCCGCGTCGGACCCGAGGTGTCTCACTGCCCCACTGCCACTGCTCGCTCACTCCCGCTGCTGGACTGTTCCGATGAAATAGTTATAGATTACATATAGATACTATATACTCAACTATATATAGATATGTAGTTCAGACAGATAAGCTGTTGATGGGTATAAGATTTTGCCACATCGTGGCACCACTTTGTTGCTCGCACAGCACCGTGCCAAAATGCGACCGGAATTGTTTTCCTTGTCATCAAAAAGATCCCTCGCGCATCTTGACTGATACATGACAAGAACTGCTCAGAGTGTAATAGCTGAAGCGCTGTCAGTGTAATCATCGACTGAAGAAAAGTGGGGTAGGCAGGGCTAGAAAAACGTGAGCAGTGGCAAGAACTGCAATATGAAGGATCCCTCCATTCTCAATGGGTTTCAACTATCTGCTAAACATGGCGGTGACACAACTCGTGTAGTACGGTGCAGCCCACACATCTCAAAGCCACAGTTCACCTGTCTTAGTGCACACCTGATACGAACGTGAAGCATTCACTTGAAATTGGGTTTGCATATGTGTGTGTGTGTGCGCGCGTTATTGTATGCATGACACGATGTGCTGGAACATGCTGATCGTAAGATTATTCATCGCTACTTTCTGTCCGATCAGGCGGATTTCTTTAGACGCTTACCAGCTTAATGATCTTGATAAGCATCCAGTTGTTGGTGGATGACGTCATCAGCTTGAAGAACACGGGAGCCAGGCCCAGGTAGTTCTGCGGGTTCTTTCTGGCCAGCTCACAGATGACGTTGACGGCCGCGCTCTGGACACCTGCAGAGCGGCGCAGCCGTCAGCCAGCGTACGCATCCACCGCACGCACAAGCTGATCGGCGACATAGTTACCGATAACCGGATCATGCCACACACACTGCGGATGCCCAGCGGCGGCCGAGCATGTTCAACACGGTGATAATGTCGCTCGTGTCTTAAAACATGATTACGCCTGAATCCCGCGGCAGGAAAGGAGCCTCAACATCCACAGATCGTCACTGCTGCGAACCGCCGATGCTCCGGCACGACCAAACGCCAGGTGCAGCATCACGCGATGCCCTCACCCGGGTCCGGGTCATCCAGCTTGTCCTTGAGCCGGGGGAACGCGGGACGCAGCGCCTCGGGGAACTTGAGGAAAATCTTGTACATGAGCAGCACCGCCTTCTTCCGCAGGTACGGTTTGGTGGAAGAGAGCTGGGTGCACAGCCACGGGCCAGGTCAGGTCACGTCAGGTCGAGTCAGGTGCTCAGGTCGGGCCAGGTCAGACCAGGTCGGGTCCGCGGCTCAAGCCCATACCAAAGGCGCGACACAGGCGGGAGTCGTGCAATACCTGTGTGGCCGTCAGCCGGGCGGCCGGGAAGCCCCTGAATGCGTTGACAATCGTTCCCAGCAAACAGAAGCAGAGCTCAGTGACGCCCGGTAACGCACGGATTACCAACAGGTGGGTGCCGGACCGCGCACCACCCAGCCGTCCCCCCCCCCCCCCCTCCCCCCCCTCCCCCCACCCCCACAGCGTCGCGGAGACGACCACAAGCGTAACCGCAGATCGCCGCCGGAGCTCGCGGCTCCACCGCCGTCCGCCTGTGACGCCGACGGGCCTCCCCACGACAGGACCCCTCACCCCCCCCCCCCCCCCCGCTCAGACCCGGCGCGGCTCTGACCAGGGTCATGACGTCGTTGGCGAGGTCGCGCGCCAGGTCGGTGGAGATGAAGCACGAGAGGCTGGTGAGCGCCACGGCCGAGTCGTACTGGGTCTGGCTGTTCAGGTCCTTACGGATCATGTTGGTGGTGAGCATCAGCACCTGGCGGACGTCGTGAGTCGTGAGACGGCCCGCCGCCGGAGCCGGTGCTGTCGCGCGGCGCCGGTCCACCCCGGGCGCCGCCACACCGATCGGGCAACACAACAGGCACTGCGGTGTGCCCCGACGGGGCTGAACGCGCCCAGGGGAGCGCGGCATCTGTGAAGCTGCAGCTACATCCCGCTCTCACAGGGCCCACGCAGACGCAACGAACACGACGGGCCATCACTGCTGCACCCTGGCAATAACCGGGCGGACGACACTCGGCGGCGCTCACCAACGCTCTGAACGACACGCAGTCGGGGACACTAGCCGGACAGCTGCAGACCTCGTGACCATGACCGCGCCGGAGCGGCCGGCCGCTCACCTCCGTGTCCGGGTGGAACGACTGCGAGGCGGCCAGGTAGCCGATGCGCTTATAGGTGAACTTGGGCGAGCTCATCACCTCCACGATGTTAAAGCTCGCCCAGCTGATGTCGTAGCCCAGCATCTGGATCTGAGGGCGGCGACGACAGCGTCAGCACGTCCACGCTGCAGGGGTGCATCAATGTACTAACCAGAGCTGTTAACTACGCCGTACACATCGTCTAGACAGAGAATGCTGTGGCGATGTGGCGAAAGAATGGGAGCCGGACTCAGCGGAGCAGACATCATCGGCGCCCTCCAGCGCCGGCCGCAGCCGACCCGCGGCGCCGGCCGCTGTCGTGTCGGGACACAGCTACACCAGCGCCCTCCGGCGCCCGCTACAGGCGACACACGGCGCCGGCCGCTGCCGTGTCGGGACACGGCTGCCGTCGAAGCCACTCACGTAGGTCAGCTTCTGGACGGCGTTGACCTTGACGGCGATGTTGTCCTGCCGCAGCTCTTGCTTGATCTCCTCGATGCATTGCGCAATGTACTTGGCCTGCGGGAGCAGCGGCGAGTGAGGTCAGCGGACAGGGTGACGGCCCCGTCACATCGCCAAGGCTCGACGGTGGGACCGATCACAGATGTCAGACAGATGACGTGTGAGATGAAACATGCTCACAGGAATATAGTGAGACTGACAACGTGAGATGAAAATGACACCAGGGCTTCCGGCAGCAGTTCGAGTCCATTAAAAACGACCCGTGCGCCGCAAAAACCTCACTAAAAATGTTCCCCATCAGTTGATTGGGTGGCTTTTTGTTGATGGCCACCCCAGGAATTTCACACGTTCTTATTCTACTATACAAAGGTACATTATATATATATATATATATATATATATATATATATATATATATATACATAATTTTGGCGGGTGTTTTACAGATATCAAAGTCGAACCACATAAACAGGAATTTCCGGGAGACAGGCTCATATGTCAATCACCCAATGGGCAGATGTCTGGCGTGAAAGGAAACTGAAGAAAAAAGAACACAAATAACGGTTCTGGCGACGTGGAGATAGCCCAAACATAAAACGGGACGACGCTCACATCAAGCACGGTTACGAGCGAAGGACAGGCGATACAAGATGCACCGCGGAGGTGATTGAAGGAGTGCTCCACATTTGCGTGGGGGTCTGAACTGAAATGGCCATCTTGGAGATCATCCGGTGCAATTCACAGTCCTGCCCTTATTGAGACTTAAAGCCCTCTAGTTCCTGAAATACACGCCCGCGAAGATGGGCATACTTTTTCAGGGAGGATATTTTGAGGTCACTCAAGCGTACATGACTAGATTACGACGTTATCTAAATCCTTATATTTCATTAGCCGAGCAGCGACAAGGCCAACAAAAGTATAATTGTCGAGTCGTTCCTATCTGGCGTTCGTGAGCAGAATTTCCGGATACATCGGCCGTTAATTGACTCAATTAATAGTGTGCAAGGTGCAGTAGGGCAACCAAACAATGACCTATTGAGCAGCACATTTACGAAAGAGAAATTGTGTTGTCCAGAGTCGCCTTCCACCTTTAAAAGTACAATGGTTATAAGGGAGCTTATTTCATCATATTTGACGCCTGCTTCAATGTGCTCCAATAGAGCATTACCTTCCACAGCTAGCTTGGACTCAATTGACCGCGAACAAACACACCGCCGCTCTGCTCCATAGCTGTATCGATTCGGCTGCAAGATCTATCCCATTCTAACGCTCTCGTCCCTGGAGTAAGCTCTGCTCTCGGCGGTCAACAGCCCACTCGAGTGACGTCACACGATCGACACCGCCCACAGACGGGAGCCCTCGGGAGTTGGAGCCGGAGCCGGAGCCGGAGCCGGAGCCGGAGCCGGAGCCGGAGCCGGGGCCGGGGCCGGGGCCGGGGCCGGGGCCGGGGCCGGAGCCGGAGCCGGATCCGGATCCGGAGCCGGAGCCGGAGCCGGAGCCGGAGCCGGAGCCGGAGCCGGAGCCGGAGCCGGAGCCGGAGCCGGGCCGGGGGCTGGCCGAGTCCCCCCCCCCCCTCAAACCCGTCGCATCTACCATCGGCTCAGGGAGCAGCCGATCCCCTCCCGGGGCCCTCAGGCGGCGGGCACGTGCCGCTCTGTACACTGGGGACATCGGACGGCCACTCGAGGACACGCGGTTACAATAACAGCGACGGGGACGCGCTAACGTAAACAGGGCGCGCCGGGCGGGGCAGCTCGACCGGCCGGCCGGCCCGCGCCGTCGCCGTCTGGGGATCGCTCGACGGAGACTGTAGGAGCCTGTCCCGCCCACGATGGGGCCATAACGGATAACGGTCGGGCCCGTCCCGATACGGGCCCCCGTACGGCCGAGCCGGAGCGCGGTACAACACGGGAGTTAGCGGTATCTGATATGGGGCGGGGCCGGCGGCGGACCGGCCCGTCGTCAAAACGACGCTGCAAACACTGTTGGACCACAAGTGTCCGAGTTTCGGCCGGTGTCGTGAAACGTATGATCAAAATGGATCTCTCCAAAAGGATTGTTAGAGGAACAGCTTCGTGCCGCCCATCTTTTCCTTCCGAAATCCACGCCCTCCATCCTTTCGAGTAGTCTGTGGCCCACTGCCGTGAGCATTACACCGGCTCTTCCTTCGTCCAGCACTCCAAAACACAAAACCGTCTATCGATACTACGCACCATTCCGGTGCAGTGCTTGAGCCACACATCTCACAAATGCCTGCGAAAGGTACATGAGTGACGCATCTTGCACATGCCTGCGAAAGGTACAGTCAGTTCGCGCAGTTTGCTTCTCCGCGTCCAATGGTCCACCTCGCGCGCCGTGTGCAGCGGCGCGGCCACGTACCTCGTTGTCCTTGTTGTTGCGGATACCGCGTACCAGGTCGGTGAGGTTCTTGTCGAAGAGCCGCTCGATATTCCCCCGGATGTTGCGCAGCGCCACGTCCATGATGAGGGGCGAGCCGAGCCGTCGAGTCAGGTCAGGTCAGGTCGGGCCAGGCCAGGTCAGATCAGGCGGGCAGGCGCCGAACGGCCACCTGGGGATGCAGGCTGGTCAGCTCAGGCCCGAAGTCAAGTTCAGTAGGCGGCCATTGGGCGGGAACATGACGCGAGTGAGACGGTTGGAATCAGTCAGCTCAAGCCCACAGACTGACACCGGTCGATACATAACATTAGCCCCACGGGTGATGGGGTGGGGAAGGGGGAGGTTCGGAGTCAGGTCCGCACAGAACTCGGGGCCTGTGCGCACGCGGGACGGCGGCCACGAGGTTTTGGGGGTAAGGCCTCGTCAGCTTCGTACGAGCCCTGTCCGAGGTTTTAGGGGTGAACGCCTCGTCAGCTTCGTACGAGCCTTGTCGGTCAATGCGTAACTAAACGTGGGTTGCGAAAGCTCATGCAATGCTGTTCTATGGTAGGTCAGGTCGGGTCAGGCTCGGACAGAACCACACATTAGAGCAATCAGCAGTGTTAAGTCAGACACCCACCAAAGGCATATAGCAAGGGGCCTGGGGGGTTGCCCTACGTTTGAAGGTCTTAATTAAAGACGGGGGGGGGAGGGTCCGCTCCTGTGTGGTTCCAGTGAGGACAGACCATCACACTGCTCGCAGCAAACGAGACGCGAGCGGCAGAAAATAGTACGCAAGCGAGGCGGCATTTCGTTTGCAATGCCTGTCGCACTTATCGCGATAGATAACCTAACATATGAGTACTCTCAAGCTTCAGATCAAATTTCCTGTCCGTAGCGACCTTCGGCGATTCTTTTGGCGCTTGGTAAACTCCTGGCTGCTGCGATTCCGTTCCATATGCGTCGGCGCCCGACGCAGTTCGCGACAAACCGACACTAAACATTATCAAGGATTGCATCGCAAACGTGCCGTGACGGTCTGTAGCCTGCAACTACCGGCGCGACACAACCAACTCCGTGGATTTGGAAGGCCCTTCAACATCCATGGAGGCACGAGAAGCACCGCTTCAATGGGGGCGGGGGATGGGTGAAGCTGCCTTGAAGGAGCCAAGTCTCTACGGCGTGGATCCTTACCACAGCAACCTGATGACCCCACCCCTTTTCCAAGAAACTACAATCACGGACGTCGAAAACACATCTCCATTGGCATGATCACGGGGGTGGATACAGCCACACAATCAGACTATTTCCCGCCCCGCGCAGGCAAATCGCCAGCTCTCGCTCAGGTGCGGGAGCCGCGGTGCACTATCCCCAACACTCCGTCGTCAAACGAATCGGACCGCGCACGTATTTAACACCCAATACAGCATGCACGATCGAATGACTGACCGGTCTACGGATGAATAATTCCCAGGCTCGGACAAGCTAACTCCGACCTCCTACACACGGCCATGGCGTGCCCTTTATTCATACGTGCCCACTGCATCAGATAAAGACGCGGCAGACAGGACAAAAGCCGCTGTTACGGCCCACAGCCTCAAGGTCAGTTGACAGTGGAACCCTAATCTGTCCAATGTCTACAGTATTTCCCGCGCCACACTGCAATCCGCAGCGCGCTGCAGTTTGCAGTCTGAGTCAGCCTGAAAGTCGCCGGGCACGCCCTGACGCCCAGTCCACACGACTCCCGACAGGGCCTGTCGATGGCGCAGTCACATCGCGTCACGCCTCTGGACTACACACGACGACATTTTCCGGACGTCCGCCGCCCGACAGCCACCAGCACGGCCCTGTCGAGGCCATGAGAAAGTCGGAGCCCGCTCCCACGAGCCGAGCGTCAACACGGCACGAGCCGGCGCCGGCCCGAGCCGCCGTGTCCCGGGGATGGGAGGCAATGTCGTGACTGTACCGACAGGTCGTCGCTCGACACTCCACACCGCTGCACGGGACCGCCCGCGGCAGCGGCCTGTCTCCGGCGTCCGGCGTCCAGCGCCCGGTGTCGGTCGGGCGCGCCGTAACAGGACGCCAGCACACGGCGGGGCCGGCGCGCCGCGGGGTGCGGTTACCCGGCGGCGCGCGCGGATGCGCCGCATCGGCGACGTCGGGGCGAGCGCGGCCCAGGCCGGCGGTGGGACGCCGCAGGGGACGGAGAGCAAGCAGGCTGCAGATGACGCAGCGTTCGACACCAAACAAGACAAAAGGTTGTGAATGTGCCGTCAGTTGACACCGAAACGTTTTGTTGTTCATAGATTTCATGGATGAGGAAAAGCCAAACCCTACAGAGCCATGTTTTTATTTGAGCTTTCTCAATGAGACATTCAGTGCTTGAGGCAAAATTTGCCAGACTCAATCCTAGGGTAAGGTCTTTCTCTCCGCCCCTCCGCCCCCCCCCCCGCACCACCACCACCACCAACCAAGCTGTATTTGCAGTGAAATGCACCATCACATTAAGCTTCAGTCGAAATTGGGGACAGACACATAACAAAGGCAGCCAGTGTTTATGAGCTTCAAGACAAGTTCAAGATTCGCTGAGTTTTGTCAAACTAAGCCACTGGCTTTGAGGCGATAAGAAAGTGGCGAAAAACCCAGGTGGTGGTGGAGGAGTTGATGAAAGCCATAGCACTCACAGCTTAGCACACATCTACACATACTCTTGTGTGTGCTTGTTTGTCATGCAGCGCCATCGTCCGACGATGATGGGTGCAACATCACAGCAAGCCATAATGCACACACCCATGTTGAGTGCAGCAGAGCAGCAGTGACAGTGGTGGTCCATGCACCAGCTGTGGTCCTACAGACTGAGTTGATCAGATTGAGTTGCACTCTCAGAGGCAGACTTCTGGTCCAGATCAGAAACCTGTTTATTTCTTAAAATCTAGCTGAATGCTTACTGATGAGATTTTACATACAAATTATCATGAGCCAATTATTTACCACACCTGGATATGCTATCACTGTTGCAAGCAGACCTCAAGGGCAAGGTAGATGTGTTTGTTCCCTCACAGAGGTGGAGCTGTATTATGCCCTTGATTAAACAGAAGCACAGCCAACATTTTACCTGCTATTGACTGATCTTTCAATAACATCTCCTTGAAACATGGACCCTTTCTCATCATACATTTTTCTCCCTGTAAACAAGACTTGATAAACTGTTGTGAAATGACCTACTGACTTGAACAAAGCTGTGCAAGGTCATAGGGCTACATACTAAGACCACATATAATAAGAAATTGGCCAAAGACTTGCATTGTATTGCATAGTTATGGTGGGATGTGGAACATAAGACCTCTGTATGATTCATTGAGTGCTGAAAACCACTTTACCCCAAAATGTCCTGCTGTTGGCTCACATTTCATCATGTTTGGTCTTTTGGTTCCACAATGAGATGAAAACTAACATAAACAGCAGCTTAAAGGCAGAAAATTGTATTCATACACACTCAACATGATGCTGTGAAGTGAGAGTTTAGCAAAGAAACAACCTTTTTACAGCTGAAGCAAGAACAACACCTTCAAATATTCAATGATTCCACACTTCCTCAAATAAGTCATAGTTGTTTTGAAAGTGCACAACATAAAATTAAATAAAATACATATAATGTGTACCTTGTTTAGTGGAACACTTCATAGTTATTGATTACATAACTTAAATTTACACTGGGAAATCCAATTATTTTGTAATATAGGGGATTATCTGGAAAATGTCACACATTACATGGGACTGCACATCCAAATTGCTCCTCATTTTAAATCACAAACAAAAAAATACTTCTCATGACATGTTGATCTTATGACATGACATTGAGCTTAATGATTTCTTTATCTTATCAACACATTTAACACATAGCTGAATGATGTTCAATGATTTATTATGACAAGCTGTTGAGCCTGTGGTCTAAAGCAGGAAAGCTTATACAGATAACACTTCTGCAACCTTGATGTTTTGCTCCCTGGTGGCCAATCATCTTCACCACTGGAATAGATTGTATTAATGTTGTTTGACATTTCTCTCTTGATTTCATGAGCCCCTGTGTTTTGGCTGGTTTATTAACTGATCCACCCAGTCCAACAGATGTCCCAGCATTTACACAGCTTGTGTCAGAAAAGTTAATACCACTCACACACCTGGTCCCAAGGCTGCAAATCACAATAATCATATGGTGCCTGCTTGCAGCTGGTGAACAATCCAAAGCATGTGGATGTCCTATCTCATGCAGTCAAAAATATTCCTAAGATGAAAAACAGAAATGGCACCAAGCAACAAATACCAAAATGCAAAGCATGCAAAGGTATGTATTGCTCCATTTGTTATATGCTATATATCAGGTAAGGTAAAACAATGCAACCCACCATTCAAAGTAAGAACAGTTACACACAAATTGAAAATGTAGATTTTAGAATAGTCTTAAGTATCTCACATGAAGAAGAGCCTTAATGTAATGTGTACAACAAACCTGATCTGGCAAGTTCTTGCCTCATAAGCATTATAAGATTATTATGCACACCTAAGCACAATGCCTCTTGCATACTGAAACCACTCCAAACAAATGGCCAGTGATTGTCTAATACAAAGTGTGTCATGCTAAGGTAAGGGTAGGCTTTGTATTGATATTCATTTTCTTTTTCAATGGTACTACATTATTATGGCAGACATCCAACACTACAAAGCACATTTAGCAATACTTTGTCAGGAGTGCAGCAGAACACAGTTTCTGTGACTGTGTGCACTGTGCAGTGCTTTAACTGTGTTGCCTTCAGAAATATGCTCTTTTTACCATTGTCCAATATATATAAAAGGCAGTGCTAATGTTCTTGTCCCTCATAGAATAGCCAGCAGAACTGAGAGATAGATGGACTGATATTTTGGCCATATGACTTTTATGAAACTAATATCAGTTGTTTGCCAATTGCTTTTTAAATGGTTATCAATGAATCTATTTTCACACTACCTTATGGTGATATGCATCCAACACTGCAATCTGCATTTTATGATATGTGTCTGGGGTGCAATGGGGCAGAGTGTCTGTGACTGAAATGCACCAATATTTGTTTTTATACAAACAAGTAGCCAAGATATTCACCCATCTATCTCTTGATTCTCCCAGTTATTCTACAACGAAATGGGCTATTGCTGCAACCATACTGGATCATAAGTTGAATATAATTAACTTGAAAAGCTGTACACAGCAGGTGACATTGCTTAGAATTTTTTAGTATGACCATCATCCAATAACATAAAAGGTGAATTGTTCATAATAATGACATTATATGTGCTTTGGTCAATCTAAACTAAGCAATGGGAAAACAGACATGTTCACTAATACCAAATGTGTACCAGTTGAGCAACATTACATTGAGATATCATGAAGTCTCTGATATTGTGAGCATCTCTGCTATGTTCCTACAAACCTATTTGCTGTTCACCACATGACAATCTTTGGTTGACACAAGCAGCATATGAATATAATGATAATTATAATGATAATGATTCCACAATATTCACATTCTAAGCACAATGCTATTAGGCAGGTGTACTGCTTTGGCACCTTTAACCACCCCAAGCAGCCAAAAAAGTGCCACAGCTTAAAATGAGCAACACAAGCCCCGGTGAGGTTCCAGAGGATTGATGGAATTGGGTGAGGGTGATTATCAACTGGGGTGGAACACTAATTAAGTAAATTTCTCTGCAATGATATCCATAAGCTGCATGTTCGCATTCTGAAACACTTTAAATCGTAAAGAAACCTACAGAAGTTCAGAGACCTCCAGTCATGTACGATACACTGAAGGAAAACAACGACCATCAACAAGGGATCCGGCGTTTCGTTGTCACGATGTGCTTTGCCACATCGTGCTTATCAATTTCATTCACGCAATGCTACCCATTTAATCTTACCTGCTAAACAAACGCTATCAAGGTGGAAGTAATAATCTTCCCCGAATCAAAAAGTAAAAATAACAGAGCAGTGTCTCACAGAAATTAACCCACATACGGTACGAAAATCGCCGTCCCAGCGTATGCGTGTGTGTGTGGCCTGCGTCACTTTCGCACTATTAAACCTAGTGACGCTTAGCTATTTTCGTATGATATTCATAGCAGTTCAACATGATAAAATTAGCGAAGTAATTTAGTTAATCTCACCGAATGAACCAACCTAACAGCAGCCCTCTAAGTATTTTAAAATTACCAGAAACAAACTTTTACGCTGCACTAGCCAGCTGTTAGTTTCATCTACATAAATAGCGGTATGGATACAAATGCGCAGCCCGTCTACTGCGCAGGGTTGAATGATAAAACGAATCCAGCAAACACGGCGGAACATATAGATCTAAGGGCGCAGCACAGACATTGGGCGTGGGCACGGTTGCCGGCCGAGTTGTTTCGGGTGGCTGTAGGGTTGCCTCTTGGGCTGCATTCCACTGAGTTAAGAGTCCAATTAAAAGCCCATTATCAGCGAACGCGGACATCGTAGGCGAGTACCAAGTAGGTGCGCGTACCGTCAAGGATGAGGAGTCATTACACCCCCCCCCCCCCCCCTCTTTAGTTTCGGTGTGAGCCCAAGAACATATCCAGAAACTGATTCCAGTGTGTGATGCCTCTTTTTTGTTTGCTTGTTAGCTACATGAAACATGATTATTGAATGAGATGGTAGTAATAGCCTTTTGCATGAAGAAAAACCAGGAGAATGAACATATAGATGTTGATAGTTTGGCAATACATGTTGATTGAAACAAATAGCAGTAAAAGAAAAAGCAAACTTCTGCTGAAGGCATGTTGCTGAGTTGCTACTACATTTATCTTCATTCTCTTTGTATGTATTCAAGGAATTAGGCTATTACCACTTATCTATGTGAATAATGTTGCTCGTGAGTGCATTTGGAAACTTATGTGAATATCACTGTTGTATCGGAAAACTATTGTTGAGCACCCCTGGCCAAGCATCACCATCTATGACTGGACCATGTAATGACTTGTTGACCTTACTGGTCATACCTTATTGCTGATGGCTTGCACCACTAAAAGCCGCTATCTCTCCGCCCCATTTCTGTTATATTCAAAATGGTGGGCATACTCTAGTCAGACTAAAAAAAGTATTTTGTTGAACACTTCTGGCATAGCAGCAACATCATTGCAACAATTTGGGAGCATACACAGCTGAAGTCCAAAAGTTTGAGTCTGGTTCATTGCAACCATCAATTTAAGAATATATGAAGTCTATGTTTTCAAGGAAGTGTGATGCTGCTAAGTTTATTTCAAACAAAACATCTTCCCAGATTTTTTCAAACAAAAATTATATGAAAATTAAATGTGAATTGGCCTTGCCTGACTTTGCTGCACAGGTGCTGCAGGTTCAGATCTATAACAGCATGTGAGCATGTTTTGCAGACTGGTACTCTGACTGGCAGACCAGTCTGAGTCTCATGAGTGCGTGCCATTTTTTGCTGACACTGCCACCAGCAAATGATTTCTTCTTCCACTTAAAATTTTCATTCACATTTTCTAGTGGTGCAACTTGCCATTAGCTCATGCAAAATGCAGGTTTGTCATTTTCTCACAACATTGAAACTGTATCTGCTTAATTTGAACCATTTTCATACCTGTAACATCAGTCTTGAGTCTTAAATGTTTTTGGTTTCCCTTTTGATATGTCTGGTTTAAAATTGTTTGAAAGCAGCTGTATGAAACAACATCCAGAAATTGCATGTGATCTTCCTTTAAAATGGGTTGAAGATGGGGAGACATTAAGGATTTTAACACTGAATAATGCTTCAGTTTGTGTAGAATTGAGTGGCTGAAACATACTGATGTTTTGTTAAGTGCTATGTTTTGATTAACCCTTCATGTGACTTTAACACATTAAGTATAAAGGGAAAGGTGACTGGACATCAACACATCAATCATAAACTGTGCTTGGCAAACAAGCAATATAATTTGGGCAATGATGATGCTACATAGTGATGGCTTCAAGATACTTCAAGTAGACCATGTATGCTTGCCATTAGCCTAGAAGTTCTAGCATGTTCATTCACTCAGCACCAACCAGTTGCACAAAAGATGACTTAGATCTTTTCATCTTTGTCAGCTGCCTGTGCTATAGTAAGATAGTGTGCAGACACAGATGCCTGACTGCATGATGCTGTCATGAAGCAAAAAGGACACTGATGTCTTTGGCACAAGCTGCTGTTGTATGCTAACTTTGGTATAAGCTGCTGTTCCTTAACTTTTAAACTAAACATTGATGACATAGAAATGAAAAGTGTGAGTCAGTTCTGTGATATGTGTGCAGTTAATTCAAAGAGGGCAGGGCATGTGAGTGCTCATAATTTGGTCCAAGTCATTTGCAAGTCCAGATTAACATCTCAAGACCAGCTCATGGAGTCTGCACCTTTGTGGGGTCAATGGGCTACAAAAGGGTGAATATTGCACTGACCTATGCCCCAATGATATATATATATATATATATATATATATATATATATATATTGTGTGTGAGTGTGTGTGTATATATGCCCTGCATGATAAAAGCATGACTTTCCAAAAAATCAATGGCATTCACAATCTTGGAAACTCATGGTTTTTCCTCAGATAACTGAAACTGTGGCCTTGATTACCTTGTCTCTTGACATGAACTGACATCTTGTCATGCTCACTACCCTTAGGTAAGCATTTGACAAAAAGTCACAGGTCAGTCATATTCATTGAGCACTAATTCATACGTCCTTATAATGTGCTTCAAACATCAAAATTATTACCAGCATCATTCACCAAAATTATTTGTTGAAGCCCAAGAGCTCCCTGTTCCCTAGAGCATAGTTGACGAGTGGGCGTTACGCATAACTCGCGCTCACCGTCACAAGCTCCGTAATCGATTATATCTGTAGATCAGATCTGTGACCTATCGAAAAACAACCATGGGCGTCACATTTTGATGCTGTATATACGTGCCGAAGCTGCTGGGACGCAGTGTCGTAACCACGAAAAAAAGTTTCCGATTCGTTTAATTATTTGCGCATATTGAAGCTTTTCTCAAGCTCTTCAGCGCTTCCTGAATGGCGGTTGAATCAGGTTCAGGTTTGGTTGTGCTAGGATCGTGTCGGCTGGAGCCTATGTCTGAGGCGATTCATGCAAGGTGACTTGTAACTCATGCGACTCTTCTGCCGCCACTTTCGCTCTGTTTGGGCAGTATTCCGGGTGCCTATGTCCATCTCAATCGACAAGCTGGACATGGAGGAGAGTTATTTTAAGTATGCGGTTGCTCCGGTTTTACAGATGAGGTCAACGAAGGTGATTCATCGCTGCGCAATAATTTTGATTTATGCCGCTTAAATGAGCGCAATCAGCATATCCGGTGCTGCAACATTGTATCTTAGATAAGACAATAGTATTATTAGTCTTATTCCTCGGAGAAAAAAACAAGAGGATGGAGATGTAGTTGGGTTGATATTTCGGTAACATGCCTTTATCAAAACAATAGCAGAAGTGAATTCCATTCTATTCCATTCCATTCTCCTGTTTTTTTTATCCGAGGAATAAGGCTAATACTACTGTCTTATGTATGTGAATGATGTTCCTCGCTAATGCACTGAACAACTTACGTTAACATGGTATCGTCGTGAACTGCCAGTACGAACTGGAAACTGCCAGTTCACGGCGACACAGCTTGCGGGTTCACTGTGTTAACGGCGGTTAATTACTCGCATTTACATCGGACATTTACACACATTTACACCGAATTATCAGCCTCGAGCAGTTGGGGGGGGGGGGGGGGGGGGGTAGCGGCGCAGCTGCTACTCGCGATGCAGCGTCTTCTGCAGTCCTCTTTTGCTGCGACACTAGTTGCGGAGGCATTTCTCCCACTTTTAGATAGTATTACGCGGGGCTGTTGTTTCTTGTGACTGTTTATGTAAAAACATGCAAGCGATGTTTTGACCCAAAATATGTCATTGGCTCTTGTTTTGTTATTGCATAACAGGCACTCGTAAAACATAGACGTCTCTATATTCCGGAGCCCCAGCAACTTGCAGCCTTTTATACATGGTGACCCGTCGTTGCTCTGTTTCAGGACAATGTTGCTCCAAAAGCTGTTTGATCACATCAGTGCTGATGACGTGGAAGCAGCCAAGGAGCAGCTCTCCAGTGGTTCAGTTAAGGTCAATGACTGCGATGATCACGGCATGACAGCCCTGCAGCACGCCAGCTACAAAGGACGGCACAAGATCTGCCAGATGCTGTTGGATCAGGTACTGGATGGTTACTGGGTGGAATGCTACGCAGGTTTGAGTTCTTGGGTGCAGGGGTGCTGTTGGGGAGCCCGCAACGGGTGGTAAATCCGTTTGCAGTTATGTTTACGGGTAGACTTACGCTGTAGGGTTGAGTATTACCATGTTATGCCGTGATTCCAGATTTAGGCATGCAACGTGCGTTCTCGTCGCTCATGTAGTTTTGTGCAATGCGTTTCATGCAGGTTTAGATCACTGCACTTCTCATATTTCCGTATACCTGTCTGACCTTTGTCTCTTCGTTGTTCTTTGCATGGTGCTCTGGATATCGTAAGGCTCGAACCCTTGATTTCCCTACATTCCCTTCCAATCCTTTCCAAGAGCTGTCCACGACCGCAGTGTCTGCACAGTCGCTCCTACACGAGCGAGGCGTCCAATGCCACGGGGTGCACGTGTGCACACGCGTGTGGTGGGCGGTGCGCAGTGTTCACGTGTGCGGTGCGCACGCAGGGTGCGGACGTGGACTGGGACGGCCACGAGCACGGCTACACGGCGCTCCACTTCGCCGCCCTCTCCGGCAGCGAGCTGACCGTTCGCGCGCTGCTGGCGGCCGGCGCGCGCACCGACCGCACCAACTCGGTCAAGCGCACTCCCGCCCAGATGGCTGCGTTTGTCGGTACGTGACGCGGCGACAGATCCAGCTCCTGAACTGGAACATGCAGTGCCCTGCTGGACTATGCCAAAAGGGAATGCAAAAATCAGGGAAAAGGCATGTAACTAGAAATGACGACGCCGGCGGTCGACGGCGTTCCCACCATCCACTTTGTCGGTGGAGCATTGGCAGGGTGTGGGGATCCTCTCCTAAGGTCGCACTCTCTCCGGCATATTGTTGGAGCGTGAACGCGTAAAGTTGGTAGCAAGACGTATACGTATTTTCGACATTATTAAAACACCGGAACATATTCTAAACATTCACGCGATCAGTTACTGTCTTTGCTGACGATAAACGCGCTCCATAAAAACTGGCTTACAAAAGTTACTGCAACACTACGTCCCGTGCAACTATCTGTGCTTACGGGGAAATGCCCTCCGTTGAAGAAAACTAGCTTACAAAAGTTGCTGCGGCTCCACATCCAATGTAAGTCATGTCGAACGCAAAAAATATACTTTGCGGCCATATAGCCTCAGCAGCTGAGTGCGTCGTAAAGCCCCTCCCCCCCCCCCAAAAAAAATACCTTGCGTGGGGTAATTTTAGTGCAGAACAACTTGGCTAGAACTTCGTTTATGGGTGTTTATGTCACACCATTTGTGGTTTTTCATCCATGCACAAAGAGTGTGCATAAGGACTCGCCCTCATTCACATTGTGTGTGTATGTCTCGAGGGCGCATGGGACGAGGAGGCAGGCAGCAGTGTTTAGCTGTCCCCGTGGGTGCGTGTAGGGGGTCATGGCTACGTTTGAGTACGTGCTGAGGGGGTGAAGGATCGCCAGTGTCGTATGGGCTCGCGCGAGAGACGCGTGGAGAGACGTGCCTGTGGGTTCAGGCCGGACAGTTGAGTCTATGGGTGGACCTGTGAGTGGGCAGGTGATGGGTCTGTGGGTTGAGATGAGGCAGTTGAGTCTATGGGCGGACCTGTGGGTGGACAGGTGATGGGTCTGTGGGCTTAGGTGGGATAGTTGAGTTTATGGGTGGACCTGTGGGTGGAGAGGTGACGGGTCTGTGGGTTTAGATAGGACGGTGGTACACATAGCGCGGAATGCGTGCAGAACACGGGTTGCAACGGATCTGCCACTCTGGTGGACGGTATTTATGGCCCCAAGCGCTGTGGGAATCGCGGAATCAACCCTTCTAAATCTTGGGGGCCAAATATCGCCGCCTGATAAGTGAAACGACAAGATCTCGAGGTTGATGATGTCGTGCGAGTTAAGCGTATTTATGGCTGGTCTTCACTGGACCCACACGCTGCGTCAAAGGTTTGAATCGACCTCCCACGACTGTCCCAAAAACCTCCGATCAGGCCTTCCGAGTACCAATTCCGGCAAAATTGGTAGGCAGACTTTAAATAGTGTGTGCATGGTGAAATATGAGCGGTTCCTTGGGTCAACCCAAAAACATGGTGTCGGGGTACATCTGGCGAATAGACATGTTTAGCACGCTGTGATGTTCCACGAGATCAAACAGATGGCTTATAGTCCGTAAGTAAGCATTGATTGGTCGTCATGTCGTCGTTTGGGGTTCTTCATGGACTATCTTACCATAATAAGCATAACTTTAATGTATCAGACTATCGCTGCAGAAGTCCAACACGCGAAATCTTGTTATCTAAACGCTTGTTTGCGGTCTGGAGATCCTTACATAGCCTTAAGTGATTGGATGCTGTCATGCAATGACGTCCAACAGGCCTTTCCAGAAAAAAACATCCTCCGTGACCTTTTGAATAGCCTGTTTCCGCCTTCATCGGCCGCATATAACCTCATCTCCACAAATTTATCCACCGAAGTCACATAGGATGCTCGGATTTCTTGCACGCGTCATCGGCTAATACAGACATCCAACCAAAAGCCTACCAGAATTGTCCTGACACCGTCACACGACACGTAGCCGGGCAGCCGGCGCGCGGCGGCCGCCGCCGCTGCCCTGGCCGCGTCCGCCGCCGCTGCGGCCGCGGCCTGCGCAGCCCCGCGTCCCCGCCGGCCCGTGTCACGATCGACCGCGCTCAGGTGGCCGCCGCCGCCGCCGGCCGGGATTGTCCTGGCGCCGATCGACGGGGCGCCGGCCCCGCCCCGGGCGCTGATTGCCCCGGAGAGCGGTGCCCGGCCGGTAATCCGCCGGGGGTCGCGGCAGACCATCGAGCGGTTGGCCCGGTACCGGTGCGGCCCGGGCCGCGGCCGGGTCACGTGGTGCCGCACGGCCTGGCGGCTGGTGCAGCGCCAAACTGCGGCAGGCGGCAGTGGGGCAGTGTAACGCTTCATTTGTATGATCTCGTATGGTGTATTTGATATGATATCAAACATGATATCATGCCCCCCCAGGCCCTACACCTGCAGTGCAGATGTTGGGTCTGGGGGGGGGGGGGGGGGCGAGGGGCATGGGCGACATGGAACTCCCATTTTCCGATAGTAGTGAACGTTATCCCTCTGGCGCCGTATGAAAAAGTCGACTCCAAAATTGATTCTGGTACCAGACTTGATGAGACGCTCCTCTGCCTGTGGTACAAATGTTGTATCCAAAAGTACAACTTAACAGTTAGGTGCTGCGAACTGCTTTTGTGACCACTTCCTTCTTCGCCGTATGCTCCACGGGTGGTTCGGTTTTGGTTGTGGGGTTAGATCTGAGCTTTTCCTGTGACGACGTGGTACGAACCATGTTAGCCATGTCGCATATTATTGAGCCCCTGGTCTTGCTCGCGTCCCGGTACAGATCGCGGTTCACTGGCGATTGATTGTCTCTGCCTTGTAAGTTCTCCGTCCTGCACGCCTTTCACCTTCAGATTTCACAAAGGATTGCTGGCGTTAATTCCCTTCAAGAACCTAACCATGTTTGCAATTTCTAAAGCTTGGATCATTAAACCTATTTCTGGCAATACGTATGGTTGCGGAACTTTGGAAGGCGGCCTTTACGTGAAAAGAATGCATTCTTCACATTGGTGACAACACCGCGCTATGTCCTCGGACCGGAGTCATGTTCAGATTTTCCGGCAGTAATTGTATGTTCAGGCGGTGCTGCTGTCCTGTGTCATCTACTCAGTCTCGGGCTCGGTGTATGTTCGGCAGGCAACCACCGGGTGGTGGCCCTGATCAACAACTACGTGCCCCGCTCGCTGGTGGACTACTACACGGCTCCGCGGGGTCTGGAGACGGAGCCCAAACTGCCGCCGGCCCTGGCCGCGCCCACACACCACCTCCTGATGCAGGTAACCGGCGGGGCGGGGGCGCCTTCATGTGCGGGTAACAGGCCGGGTGGCCTCCTGATGTGGATAACAGGCCGGGTGACCTCCTGGTGCGGGTAACAGTCCGGGTGGCCTCCTGATGTGGATAACAGGCCGGGCGGCCTCCTGATGCGGATAACAGGCCGGGTGGCCTCCTGATGCGGGTAACAGGTCGGGGGCTTCCTGGTGCTGGTAATAGGCCGGGGGCCTCCCGATGCTGGTAATAGGTCGGACGGCCTCCTGATGCGAACAACGGGTGACGATGTGACGTCAGCTTCTGTAATAGCAGCGTTCCGTGCTTGCCAGCTTGATCGCGGCTCACTCGCTATGAGGGATTGCCACACAAATCGACCAAGGTCTTTAATGCGTCGCAAACCTCTTAAGTCCCAGCAACTATCGGTAGGCGCCCACGCTAACGTCGCGTCCGCGTGGCCGCCCCGGCACGCAGCACCGCCACCTGACCTCGCCTCCCGCCGCCAGGTGAACCTACACCCCGTGCACATCCTCTCCGTGCTGCGCCAGTCGGCCGCCATGTTCGCCGGCCTGCCGCGCGTGGCGCGCGTACTGGATCTGATCTGCGAGCGCGAGGTGCGACTCCCGGGCGGCGGCAACGAGGTGCTGGCCGTGAAGGCGCATTACCTGGCGTGCGTGCTGCGCTCGCTGGAGGAGACGCGGCAGGCCGAGCTGGCCAAGCAGCCGGACGGCGGCGGCGACGCGGCGCAGCTCGCCGCACGCGTCGGCGAACTGCACGCGCGCGCCTGGCTGCGCTGCAACGCCAACATGGTGGAGGAGTACCAGGAAAACTACGTGCGCGAGTGCATCAAGAGCTTCCCGTGCCGCGAGACGCCGCTCTTCCAGCAGCTGGTGGCGAACCTGGCGCGCGCGCCGCCGGCCGCCGCCGAGACGACGGCGCTGGGCCTGCTAAGCGCCGCGCTTAACGGCCAGCGCGCCTTCCAGGACGAGAAGCAGTGCTGGGCGTGCGGCGAGGAGGGCGCCGCCAAGCGATGCGCCGCCTGCCGCGCCGTCCAGTACTGCGACCGCGCCTGCCAGCGCGCCCACTGGTTCACGCACAAGCGGTTCTGCGCGGCACTTCGCGAGCGTGTGGCCGAGCAGGAGCGGAAGGCGCGCGAGGCGGGCGAGGCGCTCGCTGTGACGTCAGAGGGCGGTGAGAAGACCGCTGCGACGTCACAGGGTGGCGAGAAGACCGCTGTGACGTCAGAGGGCGGTGAGAAGACCGCTGTGCCGGCGGAGGGGGGCGAGACGTCCGCTGTTCCGAAAGGCGCGGGGGAGAGGCCGGATGCGGCGGCAGGAGCAGGGGAGGAGTCTGAGGGCGCGGCCACGGAGTCGAAAGAGGCTGGTCAAGGGAGCGGTGCTGCTGGAGGAGCCAGCTAACTCAGTCAGTCTCCGGCCGCTGCTCGCCGTCCCGCCGTTCATTGTCATCGATGTTTTGAAATGTTTACACGCGTAAGTGTCAGTCATGACTCCACCAGCTGGTGTTGGCTGGCCGGTGGAGTGGGCCGAAGTAGCACCACGTTGCCGTCAAGTCTGGAGCACGTGGTCCGATGGCCCCTGCCTGCTGCGCTCTCTGCTGCACCGTCAATGGACACGCGTGCAAGGCAACGTGCGTGTGCCGGGATCCGAAGAATAGACCCGCGCTGTAGTACTAGGTCCTGTGGACAGTCAACACGTCTCTCCACGGTTAGACGCAAGCTCCAAGACGCTTCTGAAACCCGGGATCCCGTACGGAACGGGATCCGTGACTTGGGGATCCGGTACCCACGAGTGCTTAGCAGTTTGCGGCATCTTCCAGGTTGTACGTGCCATTTTCTGAGCTTCGCGTGAGGTCAGGATCCACTGTTGTTCGGCCATTGTTCGGATCCACCAGCCATTGTTCGGATCCACTCTGTGTATCTGTCTTTAAAACACTGTCACCACGTCACCCGTTCTGTGCACTGACTCATCAGAGTCCCGCAGCCGTGTCTTGGTCGGGCGAGACCCGAGCGTGTCGGGACCGGGCCGGCCCGCGCGCACTGTCCGTCACGTCCGCTGCTCTGGCTCGCTCGGCGGCCACGTCTCGGTCCGCTCGTGCAATACACGCCTCTCACCGTCGTCCGCGCTTGTGTTCGGATTGGGGGTTGGAAGCGGTACCTGGCGAATGGCAAACGACCGCTGCGGATGTGCTGAGCCTTGGCTACGTTTGTCCGTTCCAGACGGGCATGCTCGCGGGATCACGTTGTTAAGTTTGCACTGAACTGATCTGCGTAGTCCGATATATGTGCAACGTGCGGATTGCAAACACAGTGGCTCAGAGCAGTTGGCGCGAACGTACAAATCGTGTCGACCTTGGCCGTCTCCCGCTGTCAATGTCTCGGACCGTCTCATTGCCTGGTCAGGCAGGTTCACTGCAACAACTGCCTTTCTTGGGTGATAAAAGCAAGTTTTCAGATGGCTTGACGGTCTGGACATCGAACAGCTGACGCCTCCTTGCCCAGTGACCTACCGCCGACCCCAGCTGGCCGTATGCTTCACGGCAGGCAAGCTCTCGAAGACGTGAGGTCTACGTAGCTAAACTGTCCGATGCGCACTATCTTATCCCGTGGCCCCGCTTAAATAGTGAGTTTTTGCTGTCCGTTTTATTCCTCGATCGCCATGCTCGCCGTCACAGGCAACCGCCGTTTCCATGTCGGCTTTCGCGACGACAAACCAAAACTCCGGCCATTAATATCGGTTGCCTCCCGACCGTCAATATCGGTGGTCTCCCGGCCGTCAATATCCGTTGTCTCCTGGTAGCTAGCATCGGTTGTCTCCCGGTCGTCAGTATCGATCGTCTCCCAACACGGCCAGCGACCCGGCGCGGCGCCGCACGCGGCCGAGCCGAAGCGTCCCTGTTCGCGTACCCTGATTACTCGCGGGACCAAGGCATGCCTTAAAATACATAGAGCTGTCGTGCAGATGAGAATTAGGGGAACCTCAGGTTTTTGCCAGAAGGGAAACAAAGTCCCCAGCCGAGTGCTTCTTCCAAAATGCACGGGGAACAAGGGCAAACGACAGCTTCTATCAAACTCGATCTGTTCCGACGGGGTAGACCGCAATAAGGACATGGCAGCAAATATGGTCGTTTGTCTTGCTGGAAACGAAGTCTGTTCAAATGTCCCAGCATATCGTAGGTTCTGTTGAGCTGATTTCCGGCAAAGCGAAACTCGGCATAAATGGCACATGGATATATATGTTTCTACAATCGACTATCGTACTCAGGTATAATGCGATTTGAAGTACAGACAACACGGAGACTGCGTCGGGTGACACCCACTCAACAAAGAAAACAATATATCCTCCATGCAGGCCACACTAAAAACAACGTCCTCCCAATGGTTGATTTCGCGGCATGAGCGGGGGCGCGCGCGCGGAGATATGAAGTGCCGATTGAATGAACCGTGCCTCCGCGGCACGCCGCCAGGCGAGGCAGGCAGCCTCTGCAAAAGCTCATCACCACAAAAATAGCAGCAGGGGCGGCGCCACCAGCACACCCACCCACCCACGCGCACTCTCTGTCTCTCGCTCACTCGCTGTCTCTCGCGCGGGGCGCGCGGGCCTCCGCACGGGGCCGGTAATGCCAGAATGAGCAGGGGGCGGGGTCCGCGGGCGACGCCCGGAGATCTGGCGGCGCCCGGCCGCGCCGCGCCGCGCGCCACTGGCCGATCGCCCTCGCGCCGCATATGTACAGACGGGGCGGCGCCGCCGGCGCCACAAGCGGGCGACAGATGCCGAGGCCGGAATGAACGTAATACTGACGTTGCGTCGCCAGCTGGCGGCCGTCCGAGGGCCGGGCCGGGCTCGGGCGCCGAGCGGGCGCACGTCATGGAGACGAGAAGGGGAGAGGCGGCGCGCCGGCCCCCAAATGACACAACTCACGAGTAAAATACGTAATGCACTTATGGAATATCATGCACGAATGGGGGTCGACCGCCACGGCCGCCGCGCGACGCAGCACGCTCGCTCCGCGGTCATAAAATAACAACTTTGTACACAGAACACTTGTGTGCGGCCTTTGTAAATTGGTCTGCACGGCGGCCGGAGCGCGCCCGCCCGCCTAGCCTACCGGTCCTCCGCCGCCGCGGCGCTCCGACGCAGCCCACTATGTACACACTACCGCCATCCGGCGGGCAAGACTCGAGTCAATATGTATCACATGTGACGCTGCGCGGCGCTGCCTTCCGCGTTCGCCCGGACGCCGTCAGCGCTGCGCACGGCCGACTCCGAAGTGAAGCTGTCATCAGCCGTCGGTAGGTGCCGCTACTGTTGGTGCTGTAGAGAGTGCGAGGGCACCGCACCCTAAAACAAAAGCCCAATAGTTAGCCCGCGCCGCAAAACACAAAAGCCAGGTCTCGCCGGGATCTCAAACGCAAGATGGTGTGCGTGACTTATAAGGCCATGTTCTGGGGCAGGTCAGAAGGCAGTCTCAATATGCAATATTCTGGTGCTGAAGTGCACCTCGGTGCACCTCAATAGGAGCTACGGGAGGGACAAGACGCCCCCTCTGGAACAAGGAAACAAAAGACGGCGAATGCCAAGGCTTGGCGGAATTTTTCAGCTGCACAGTGGACATGTTTTGGCGGGGTCAATCTTAATACGCCCTTGAGACCAACATTGCTGCACCAAAACGGGAAGCACTTCGTGACGTAGCCGAAATACTCTCCCACCACAGGTGCTGACTCATTTGCCTCCAAAAATAGAACAGAGCTGTTGCACGTAGTCACATGTCCATTCTGGGCCAGTCCTTCTGCAGAGGCATCAATGCCGCGTCCGGCGCCCAGGTGCCGCCACGTACGGAATGACTGACGTTGCTGACGTTCATGTTGAAGGGGATGCCGGCGGCGCTGGGGTGCATGTGATGAGGTATGTCGTCGTTCTTCTCCTCCTCCCGCCGCTTCAGGCAGGCGGCCTTGGGGTTGAGGTTGCGCTCTGCGGAGGGGCCCGACACGTCAGCGGCGGCGGCGCCGGCGGCTGGCCGATCCCAGCCCGGTCCCGGGCGGCCACCGGTAGGAGGCACTCCCTAACACACAACGGAGTCCGATTACAGCCAGACTCTAGCCGGTCAACACGGCGACCTGCCAATGAAAAATGCAGGCAAGGATAGTTGAGCGCGATCAAATCACTCTCGACTCATTCCGTGGATCATGCACAGGGCGGGAAGCTGAGTAGGGTTTTGGATTTCGGTTGAGTTTCAGAGGGTGTCAGATTTTTATGGTACGCAAGCTGTTTCTTCACATCCGTTACCAAACATGACGTATAAAGTCAGGCATGCAGATGTGGTTGAAAATAAAGAGCATGACACAAAACACATGACATCCGACATATTGCGATCAAAGTAAACAGAAATTGCAAGGCACAATACACACCAATCGAAAATGAACGTGTTTCAAAGCAGCGTAGCTCAATGTTACCAGCAAAACAAAAGTCAACACAACAACGATAAACACATTTAAACTAGGGAGAACCATGAAGCCAACTGAAACATAATTTAGAACAGTGAAACAAGATGTACGATTTCATGCAAACAAAGCTCCTCAGAAAAGGAAGCGTCTCAAAATCGTGGCTGGGTGAAGTCAACTGGACACCACTCGGGTCTGGGATTGAACTCAACCGACGGATTCCGTTCAATCGCGACGATCCGTATATGTCGGGACGGTTGATGTTCAAACTCAATGCATGCACCTTGTAATGAAAGCGATCAGATTGGCGTGTGGGAGTGTCCGTTTTGAACTTTTACAGAGGTTCGTCTAGCCGGCATCCGTTTCGACTAAGTTGCTGCATCCAGACAAGGATTCCCAACCTCCGCAAATGGAGATCATAACGGTTTTGTAAGTATGCCCTCGAAATTCCGTCTGGTGATCACGTTTGAAAGCCCCATCTAACCGGGTAGAATGTTTCTGTCCAGCCACACTCAGCGCGCCAGTCAAGCCACTCTTCAGCCATTAGACCGAATGTCGGCACTGAATGAAACAGCCACGCACATGCTATCTCAATCAGAAAAAAAACAAATGTTAGCAACATAACGCGAGCGAAACCAACCACAAAACAAAAACAGCTTACACTAAGGAGAAAGACAGCAAGCCAACAGCTTAGCAAGCCGGCGGGATGACCCACACCTTCACGGCTCCGGCGCTCAGGCGGCGAGGACGCCACAACCCGACTTAATCCCGGGAAGACCGTAACGCGGCGGTGCTCGTCCGACCAAGGTTCAGTGCCGCTCCTCTCTATCGCGGAGCGCCGGCCAGCCCGCCGGCGAACACCGGCGAACCAGACCACCCTCTCCGGCAGGCCTGCCGAACCCAGCCGAAGGCTCCGCCGCGGCGGGGACCCGCCGCCAACACCGAACGCGTGCCCTCCCGCCAGCCGAGCCCAATCCAGTGAACGGCATCCGCAGGCAGGCCACCGCAAACGGCGCCGACACGCACGCAAACACCGAAAACCGCCGCCACACCCATGCCACGCCCAGCCGGCGCACCGTCGGCGGCGGCGCTGAAAGCAGGCAACACCGAAAGCAGACTGGACGCCACACACAGCACCACAAACGCGCGCGCGGCCGTGCGCGCCGGCGGCGGCGCGGCCTAACCTCGAACTTGCTGCTCCAGCGTCATGATCACATCGACGGCCAGGTTGAGCACGCCCAGCTTGGTCTGCGGCTTGTCCTGCTTCATGTGCGTCATGCACATGCGGCCCAGCTCCTTGAGCGCCTCGTTGATGTCGCGAATGCGCACCCTGCGGGGCGCGCGGTCGGTGTCAGCGGTACGTACCTCGGACCTGGGTCTCCAGTTGGCTGATCACCTCGACCGCGTGGTGCAGGATGCCCAGCTTGGTCTGCGCCTTGTCACTCGTCATGTGCACCGTCACCATGCGACCCAGCTCTTTGAACGCCTCATTTATATCTTTGACGCGAATCCTGCGGGAGCAGCCGGAGGCGGCCGTGACTAGCCGAGCCAGGCGCGGCGTCGCGCCCGCCCGCGGCCGCCACACGGGGTAAGGCTGGCGAGCGGCGCCCACACGCACCCGCCGACAGACGACACGGAAGGACAGAGAGTGGGAGGGGCGCGGAAGAGACGCGGCCGGCCGCGGCGGGTACGTGTGGGTGTGGCGGTGCGTGTACCAGTGCGGGGGGGACGTGCAGGCAGTCGTACCGCAAGCTGATCCGACTCAAGCCACAAGAAATGTCAACTGAACAGTGCGGCAACACCGAACAACAGGTAACTCAAGAGGTTCATTCACCGACAAATCCAGAAATAAACGGCACAATGCTCCCCGCCCGCTTTCTCCACGGCCGCTGACACCAAGCGATCAAAACGCGACAAAAAGAAACCGACCGAACGTTAACTGCAACCGGATGCAAACGCAAGTTGACGTTCTACGTAAACAAAAAACCCGCAGCACCCACCCAGCCACGCCCGTCCAGTGAGCCCTTTTACTGCTGGTGACCAGCTCAGCGCACAGGCGGGGCGCCGTCCTACAACACAAATATCCACAGCCTCCAGCCGGCCCGTCGAGGCGCCGACCCATCGGCGCCCGCCGGGCAGCGGCCGCCCGTCGTCGCCTCCTGTCCGGTTCCTGACTCCCGGACAGGACCGGACAGCGGCCGGCGGGCAGGCGGACGGGCTCCCCCGGAGGGCATGCAGCGTGCAGGACCCCCCTCCCCTCGGCGCCGGCCCGCTCCCTCTACGGCGGAGCGGGCCGGCGCCGTCGGCCGAGGCTGAGCGTGCCGGCCTCGGCATGCCGGCCAAACCGCGGTATGCCGGGCGACGCGCGCCAGGGCCGTCCGAGCCGGCCGTGTGCAGCCCGGCATCACGTGCCATGCCGCGCCGCACCGCCCCGCGTCCAGCGTCGGGGAGCGAGCCCGAACGCGAGCCCGGGTGGCCAGATTTACCGGCCGCGGCGCGCGTCACCCGACATAGCAAGCGCCGGGCCACTGACGGCGCGGCCTGTCGGCCAGCTCCGTGGCGTGTTTCATTCAATGATCAAAAACATAAGTCGAGCAGAGCTGGCCTGTTTGTGCTGCCGTGCTCGGAAAGAGGCACGAGACTTCGCCGAAATCCGGCCGTTCACTTCGTGAGCATGATAGTTGGTCAAGGCTGGAGGCTAGCAAGGCCTTCGAAGCCAAATTCCAAAGGGCAGCCGGCGCCGCGGCGAGGCGGCACGCTCCCCTTCCCCTCTTCCCGCGCGCCGGGCGCCGACCGGCCGGTGGCGGCCCACGTACCGTTCCCGCTGGTTATTTGCACTACGTCGCTCCTTCTCGCGCACGAGCTTGACGCCCGGGTCCAGATCGGACTCCTCTTCGCTGCAACAATCGACAGCGGGCTGTTGTCCGGCGCTGTTTGGGCAGAGCATCCCCGGTCTCGTAACGGCGCACGGTCCGCCACAGAGCACGCACACACGGGGGCGCCGCCAGCGCGCGCGCCGCCGGCGGCGCGTGCGGCCCGCCGGCGCGCGCGCGCGCCGCGCACACCCCCGCCTCACACCGCTACAGGGACGACAACAGGCAACGGCGGGGAGTGGCGAGCGCCCGTCTGACGGACTGAAAAGATTGTGTCGCCAATAGGCTGGCTTGACTGGCTCATGAGCGCCGCAGGTAGTGGGTTTGCATTTAATGACAGCACGTCACGGGACTCGTGAAAAACGACGGGAAATATGACTCGTGAGGTATGGCTTGCTTTGACGGCTCAGACCCCAGACTGCAACTGATTAAGTCTTAGTACTCTACAAAGAATCGACGCTATAATACCACCAACACGCATCCGTCGTATTACCGCAGGCTTCCAAACAGTCAGACCGCATGCAAACCGAAAGAAGAAACATCTGTTCACAGCTTCGCTGACAGGCCGTGGCAGAGGGCTGCGGCCGCGAACCAGAGCGTGACCCCCGTCAGACGCCCACCGGCCGTGCACCGGCCGCCACCGCCGAGCCACACTCACTATCGTCGCGACCGCTTCGCCTTGGACGACGTGGACGAGGTGGAGGTGGTGGAGGCGGCCACGGAGCTGGCCGACAGGTTCGAGCCCAGCTCCGTGCTGTCCGGCGCCTCTTTCCGCTTCTCTGCGGCGGGGAGGAGCGGGCCGTCAGCGGGCCGTCAGCGGGGGGGCGGCGCGGCACTGTCCAAACGCACACAGCGCGACACAATCACCACAAAGCGCCGAGTTCAGACAGCGCTCTCAGCCGACGCCAGCAGCCGTCGCTGCCCTGCCGCGTGGTGCCGTGCGCGGCGGCCACTCACTGGAAGCGGTGGCGCGGTCGGGCTGCTCGGGCGACACCAGCTGGCCGTAGGGCGGCGCCGAGCCGGCGGCCGCCCGCAGGCCGGCCACGTGCTGCTCCATGTAGAGGAGGCCGTTGGCGTGAGCGCCGCCGGCCGCCGGGTGCAGCGGCAGCATGGGCGGCGCCGGCGGCTCGGCGTGGCTGCGCATCACCATCAACGCGTCGTCCAGGCGCTCCTCGATCCGGCCGCCCTGCCGACCGGCCCACCACGTCACGCAGGGGCGGGGCAGGGCAGGGGATCAGGGCAGGGAAGGGCACCAGGGTAGGGCAGGGCACAAGGGCACGGCATGGCAGGGAAGGAAAGGGCAAAGCACCAGAGCAGGGCAGAGCAGGCAGGGCAGGGCAGGGCAGGGCAGGGCAGGGCAGGGCAGGGCAGGGCAGGGCAGGGCAGGGCAGGGCAGGGCAGGCCATGCCAAGCCAACTGAGCCTGGGTCACGTCAGCTAGGATCAAATGATTGTGTGGTGTGGCAATACCGCAGACATTCTCATCAGTTTTCCTCCAATGACAACAATAGCAAACTACTAATGTTAGAAGAGCAAGACAATGGCAAGAGCGCTTCGTTGGTGTCAACAATCGTGCATCAAACATTAGAGCAAAGAGGGGTGATGAAACACTTAGCAGGGCTGCATGCCTGAGAACGTACGGCGCCATGTGACGGAGTCGCAGGTCAGTGTACAGATAGGTCACACATCGACGCTATTTACGTTTTAACACTGCTCAGTGATTGCCACCTTACCTGAGCGTGGTCTCTTAGAAGTCCAATAGCGTCATCCAAATGCTCATCAGGCATTCGTGGATTCTGCCAAACAAACGAAACAACGACACAAACATCAAACCGAGGTCGAATGAGGCTGGTGCGCCGCCTGTGCGGTGTCACGGCAAACTGAAGTGCTCACGGCCGCCGAGAGGTGGCGCGCCGACCGGTCAGCGCCGGGTGCGGTGAGAGAGCGCCTCCGCGCCGAGCTAGGGTGGCATGCACTAGTGCCGGTCTGCTGCACTAACGGTGAGAGGCTCTGTTACGGCGGAGCGCGGCACAGTTACGGCGGTGACGGCGACATGCGACGGTGCAGCGAGCCAAGACGGCGGCCGAGGCCGGCACGTACCGGCGTGTTTGGAACGGCGCCGCCGCCGTAGCCGCTCGCTGCGTGGTCCGGCGAGTAGATCTGAAACGGCCGACACGACAGCGTCACCAGCCGCTCACACGGCTTATGGCGCAGCTCGCGTACAAGGCAGCACAGGCGAGACGCGAAATAATTCGATGAACATTGCCAACCTATGACGCATTTAACGGCGAAACGAAAATGCATCCACGAGCCGGGGCAAAACAAAGCACTCGCAAAAACCAACTATAACCCCACCCACCGACGAGCCAGCGCGAACAAACACCTCCGTCATCCTCTCCTACAGCGCGGCACCGCGAGCGAAAGCGGTCGGCACCAGAGGCGTCCGTGAGCCCGTGGCGCCGTCCGCCGTGGCGGGCCGGGTCCGTACCGAGGCCAGCGCCTTGCCCAGCGTGTCTCCGGTGTTGGCCTGCGGCGGCGGCGGCGGCGCCGGGTGGCCGCTGCCGGCGCTGTACATGGGCGAGCCGGCCGACAGGTGCGGCGACACGGCCGGCGTCGACGACGGCGGCGCGCGGAACGACGACATCGACGGCAGGTTGGAAGACAGGTCGGCCCCGTACACCTGCCGCAAGGATGTCCGCCCGCTGTCACAGGCGTTGCCCTTATGTGTCTTTCTCCGAATTAGGGCATTTGTACCTGAATGTTGACACATCGAAAATCCACATGTCTGAATCTACACGTCATCCACGTCAAAATGACATCTGAATCTCTGCTTAGTTACACCTGAATTACTACAAAATAATATATGAATATAATTATCTTTTGAATATCGGTTGGCTTTGGTAGGGCCAGATCAAATCACGCCTGGTTTGCGCAAACAAAAGCGGAGGGCAGGTCGGAGTAGGGGGTAATTTGTTTTGTTTTTTATTCAGTAGGGACGTGGCGCGCTTCGTCGGGGGCCCAGGATGGGTTCTGCCGATGTCGGTCTGACGCCGCGTCGACGACGCGTGTGCTTCAAACCGGCCTCGGGACAAGAGCATCGCCGTCAGCGACACACCCGGGAGCCGACCAAGATCTGCGGCTGGTCCACATGCAGATCCGGCACAGCTGGAATTTAACTTTCCTTGAATTCGGATTGTACCGCGCTGTTCATAATACCATGTAAGACCTCGCAGACGTCATTGCCGGCGACTGGTTAATGAGCTACGGAGGCCAGTGGCGTTAAGCTTGTTGTGCGCACGTCACGCCAATCCCACGCCGATCTTGGCAGCCATCCAAAAAATGGAACAGGATGGGATAGCGATTTCCAGTAATGTGGATGTTCTGAGCGCAAAATTCACGCCGAGAACCGAGCCTGTGAGCCGAATGATGACCAAAAATATGCACACAAACTGCAAACACCATAATACCGTGAAGGCATCCACCACAGCATAATGAATGCCGCAGACAACCACTGCAGCATAATTAACACTGCAGACATCCACTACATCATAATTAATACTGCAGACATCCGCTGCAGCATAACAATACCGCAGACACCCACTACAGCGTAATTAATACCGCATAGACATCCGCCGTAAGCAACTTTGTGCACAACGAGTGCCCCGCAGCGTCGGGCGGCCGACCGAGAAGAGGTGCGGCAATTCGTGGCAACAGTTGCAGCCTATCTGACCGTGTGAGGGCTCAGGCAGGTACCACGGCATATATCGGTCGTCCACGACATAAAGTTGCGACAAACCGGCCATAAAGATCATCGTTAGCGGCCGGCAAGGGCGGTTTTACGGCCCCATCACGCCATTGGCTACGAGCCATATCGACACTCAATGACGCACGACCGACCGCGGCACGGGGCGCCGCCGCTTCGCCGAACTTACCATGCCGTCGGGCATGCCGTAATGCGGCGACGCCTGCGGCACCGGCCCCATCATGCCGCCTGGCGAGTAGCTGGAGTACTGCGAGTTCCACGGATCGCCGGCAGGGGCGCCGCCGTCGAGGAAGTAGGAGCTGTAGCGTCCGGGCGAATCCTGGCTGTAGTCGTCGCCCACATACTGCCGGGAACAGAGAGAGGGGGAGAGAGTCAGTGGTCAGCGCGTGGTGGCGGTAAATTGCCGTCCCGCGTCGCGGGACGCCGTCCGGCGGCCCACACGTCCCCGCCAGCCCTGTTTACGGTCGCCGCCGAGAGACCGCGCCGACCGTAAACTACACACGGCCGACAGAATTAATTAAGCCGCCGTCGCATAAATACTGGCGATTCATTACGCCCTGGGCGCGCGCGACCACGCGCCGCCGCCGGCCGGCCGCTCGGTCTGTTGGTTGTGCAGGCGGCCGGGGCGCGCGCGCGCCCGCGCCTGCAACCCAGCGAGCGGCCAGGGGCGGCCGGCGGCCGCTGACCACGGCTCCAAGGCCAGCCTGTGCCGGCGTCAAGGTGATCCGGCCGCGACGGCGTCGGCCGCCGCTGCAGGCTCATTGAGAGGCGTACCCGCCAGGACACGGCCGCCGCGCTGGCCGGCCGCCGTCGGCCGCCTCGTTAACACGGCCGAGGTCCCGCGGGCCCGCCCGAGTTTAATAAACTCGCGCGGGACCGTTTAATAAACTCGCGCGGGAGCCGTTAGATAAACCCGCGGGGCGGCGCCGGCCACCGTTCCGTCGCGAAGGATCGCGCCAATAAAGCGCGCGCTGCCTCTATTTACGACGCCGGCTAAGGAGTTTACGACGCCCACCAATGGATGGCCGTTCAATCGGAGCGGGGAGGGGGGCAGCCCGAGCTGGGAGGGGGGGGGGGGGGCGTTCGTTGACGGCGTGCCCATGTCGTCGGCGGCTGGTGCTATTTCCGGAGCGCGATAGCGGCCGGCCGGTCGGCGGGGCGCCACGCAGCGCCGGCCAGCTCCCGGCGCCGGCGGAGCGACATCTGCCGACGTTTGTGGCGCGCGGACCGCGTTCCCAGGCGCGCGCAGGTAGTTGTTTCACGGCTCATCGGCGCCCGGCAGCCGCTGCGCCGCATTTGTCACGAGGCACGCCTCCCCGGTCTGGTCCTAATCGTGCCAAACGCCGACAGAGCGGCTTTTAAACGCCGGCAGATTTCGCCGCTGACGCGCGCGAGTCGCCGACCAGCGCCGCTTCCCAGAGCTCGGCCGCTGACGGCTGCCACGGGTTCCGCTAATGACTCGACGCGGACGTAATGACTCGGCATCGCCCCCGCGGTCCGAGTCGGCGGCGCGGCGCGGCGCGGCGCGGCGCGGAGCCAGACGCCCGGCCGGGCCGCAGCCGCCGGCCATGAAACGCTCAGCAGCGATCGGGACGGCGCTGACGGGCGCAGCGTCCATCAGCCGCCATTAAAATCGGCTCGATTGCGGCGCGGCGCCGCTCCGGGATCGCCAACTGGTGATTAAAAATGTAAACAGGCAACTTGCGCCAATCAGCGGCCCGCAAACAAGGCGTTTGTCTTTCCGGCCGCCATTCGCGGCGCATAAATCAGCGATATTTGTCCGGGCCAGCCCATTCGTCACACTTGTGCCGCGAAAAGCAGGAAATCAGCCTACGAAGGGTGCCGTCCACAGCTGCTGCGAACGAAAAACATTTAGAGATCCCTGCGGATCGCACCCAAATGGGAAAATAATGGCAAAGTGGTCCGAGGGACCGATAGAAAGCGACTCGACTAAAACACTAATGCATAACGCCGCTTCACTTAACGGACGACGGTGGGCCGATCAAGCAAGAAGACGTCGGTTGCAGCCGCTCCTCCCAGCGTGTGCGACGAGCCATCGACCACTACAGAAAAACACCCCACAACGACCCTTGAACCAAGATGGTAGTGGCAGTACGCTTGAGCATGTTTTTGTGCGCATCAGCACGGCGGCGACGGCCGCCAAGGGTCGCCGTCGGACAGCCGGGCGACCGATCGCGGTCGAATCTTCCGAGCGCCGGTGCGGGGCAGGCCCGGCGCCGGCCACTGACCCCGCGCCGACCGGTCGAGGCCGCCCTCGCCCCGCCGACGCCGGCGCGACCTCAGGTCGCCGGGCACGCCGACACGCGGCGTCGCCCGGTCGAAGTCGCGCCCCGACGCCGTCGACGCCCGGACGGCCAACCCGACCGGCTGATTGGTTATCGGCGGCTGGGCATACATGGGCGGGCGGCCGGCCGGCGGCCGAGTGCGCGCGCCCGGCCGCGGCGGCAGGCCGTCTGGGCCGCCGCATTCCGCGGGGCGGCGGCGGCGGCCGTTTTTAGCGATCGGCGCCCGAGGCGGGACGCCAGAGCCGAGAATGTGACCCCTGGCGCGGCCGGGCCGCCGGCACGTCCGCCTGTTACCCGACACTGGGCCGGGGCGGGGCGGAGCGGACCGGACCGGACCGGACCGGACGGGACCGAACCAGCGCCCCCGCCGCCTGCTGTACACTGACACAGACGGGGCTCTCACTCAGGGAGCAGCGTTCGCGCTGTCAAGCTTTAAGCTCGACCCTGGCGGTCGGGTCGCCGCCCGCGAAACCGACCACGCTCGGCGGTCGGCCGCTCCACGGCCCAGCCGCAGACCGCGGTCCGGTCCCTGCGCACCACACAGACCATCCCGGGTCTCTGAGCACAGCCTGCGCGGCGCAGAGACGGCTTTCGCGCACGCTGGACGATTGCTGCTGGGGCTGGGCAGACACGCCTCCAGTCCAGGGGTGATGACAAGCGCCAGCTGACCGAAGTGGACGCTTCGAGCATTGCGGCCAACGCAAAGACACAAACCGCGGCGACGCTCCGCCCCAGGGAAGACATGACGACTACGGAGAGGGAAGGCCTAAGGCGCGTCCGACAAGGACACCGCTGATGTGCTATCAGTACCCCGCCCGGGGCAAGCTCCGCCGTTATTAATCTCTAGATCAATTACCACTTGTCTCACAGCACACAGAACTCGGCGATCCGCTTTCCTCTCCATGGACCCATGTAACGATAAACCGCCATGTCGGTATCCCTCCACAGTAATACCCCGGTTACTCAGCACTGTTTGCTCTAAGCACGCCGAGGACAAAGCGCAAGCCCGCTATCAGACACTTAGGTCACAGAGCGAGCCGCGGCTGTCACGCCAGCCGCGACGAGACCGCCACGAACGGAAGCCGGCCGGTCGCGCCCGGCGACGACGGCCCAGCGTCCCATCGCCGCCGCGCCGCCGCCGGACTCGGCTTCCCGGCGGCCGCCGGACTGCCGCCCGCGCCGACTCCGACGCCAGGCCTCCCGCCGCGCCCGGCGCTAGTATCATTCGCCGCCGGCCAAAACCAACACGGCGCCGACAGGTTACTGCCGACCAGACGGAGGCCCGGCCCGGGAACGCCGGCAGACGTCGGAATAGACGACCCACTCCAGACTCGCTGGCTCCCGCCGAGGCCGTCCCGCACCGGCCACTTCTCGTTGCGCGGCGCTGCGATACGATTCCGGGCGGAACGGAACTGAAAAGTAGCACAGCGTTGGAACCAATGAGATTCTGCAACGCGTCCCACACCGCAGCCCACGTACAAGGCGGGAGGGAGCGCTTGTTTTCGTCTGCCTCTTGGCAGACGAAAACTTGAATTTCAGTCCGCTGCTCGCTAATACTATCTCCGCTTCTCGCAAGAAATCGCCGTGGAACACACCGTTGACTGCCATCTTGATTAGATACGGCCTGTTGCCGGCGGCCTATAATCTTTAAGTGCGCATGACTTTGTTCGCTATGCTCCTATACAGTTCGGTTCGGTTCGGTTCGGTTCGGTTCGGTTCAGTTCAGTTCAGTTCAGTTCAGTTCAGTTCAGTTCAGTTCAGTTCAGTTCGGTTGGGTTGGATCGGGTTGGGTTGGGTTGGGTTGGGTTGGGTTGGGTTCGGTTCCGTCCCACATCGCGTTGCATCGCAATGATCTACAACGAAAAGAGGCCGATGTGGGACAGCCTTTATGCTGGCGAAGTTCATGGCCCGCGAACACCAGGTGCACTCCTCCGCAAAGCCAGGGCCCGCTTCGCCCTGACGTCCACCTCCATCGCGCCTCATCCCCGCGCGGGCAGCGCCCGTCCGGCGGCCAGCCGAGCTCACCGCGCCCGCACGAGGACTGACCTGGCTGAGCCGGCGGCGCAGGTGCGGGTTGCGCCGCGCCATGATCACCATACTGGCGGCGTCCTGCGGCCGCGGACTGGGCACGTTCGGGCTGAACGGGCCCGGTAGGCCGGGGCTGGGCGGCGGCGCCGGGCCCCGGCCGAAGCCTGGCAGGTCCAGCGCGTTCACGTTCGGCGGCGCCGTCATGGCGCAGCGCTCGGGGCGCGCGGAGGGCACTGGCGCGGCTGCGCCGACTCCGCTGAGCAGGCGCGTACGACACGCGCGGCGAGGCGCTTGACAGTGCACTTGCCGTTCACTCGCTGTTCGACACGACAGGGGCTCGGTCAGGTCACGTCAGGTCGGTCCGCGGGACGAGCTGGCCCGCCGGGCCTTACAGAGGAGCACCGGTCGCCACTCCCGGCACGGGAAGACGCCAGGCTGTCCGACACCGCGCCAGGCAGCAGCCGCTCGGCCGAGGCGTCGCGTGTCGACTCGGTCACCGCGCAAACACCGCTGCCCGCCTCCACAGAGCCACTCCGATTACTCGCGGACAGCCGTGAATCACAGGCACGCGGGCCGACTCTTCGAGCGAGCCGATCACGTGTGCGGCGTCCATCAGCACCTGCGGCCGACGGCGCCGCTCGTCCACACCGACGGTGCGCGGCAGACGGCGCGGCGGCCGGTGGAACGGCGCGCCCCAAGCCGGCCTCGGTGGGCGCCGGCGCCGGCGGCCAGCCAACGATGATTCTAATGACCCGCGCGTCGCGCGATTAACATTTAGACGAGGCGCGGCTGGCACTGCGCGGCGCGGAGACCACGCGTCGGCCCGACCTGACCCGACCCGACCCCGGGAGGCTGACCGACCTGACCTAACCTGGCCTGGGGAGAGAGCGCGGGCGGCGGAGCGACGGACGTCGCGCGGCGCGGCCTCGCGGTCGGCACTGCAGGCCGGTCGGCGGGCTGGCCGGCGGGCGGCCGGGCCGCGGGCGGGCAGGACCACGTCACCCGGCCG